TTTTAACATCTTAGCCCATACATGACTTCTTCTATTGGGGATAAACGGGTTTTTTTATGTGATTAATCAGTGAGGAAATGACACCGCTAGAATATAAACTAGACGTTGTTGCTAAGGCCTTCGCTCTACTCCACTGAGGTTAGTGATGCCGCGCCTTAAGAAAGAAACATTTCCACCCGCCCCTCACTCCGCAGATTGCTTTGTTTAATAGCCACAGGTAGATCTATTAACTCGAGGATTATCCAGTGCTAAATCGCAATAATAAATAACCTCTCCTACAGTCTGCCCCCCCCCCCCCACTCACACATGATATCCATGTATAACTTCAAGCACGTCGGAAATTAGCGGAATTTGGTGGATTAAGCCGACTACTAAATAGTTTTGTTTTCAGTATGTATATCTATAACGTCCATTGAAGACTATTCACATAACTAAAATGTGTTGTGTTTATTTTGCTATCAACAGGTATATGGTAATATTAACAGTATGACAATAGTAACCACTTACTTTACTAATCCCTTCGTTACTAGCGAATTAACTGTTTATGTGGTAGGGAACACAGGCCAGCCAGCACTTCGATTAGAAATATATGGAAACATCTATAGAGCTTTCAACCGTAAGCCCCTATGTCAGATTATAGTTTAATTATTGTTCTCATATAATTTGCCTTTGTAAGGCGTTGGCCGTCGCAGTAATCCTAGTAAGGCCATGCTTTTGAAGCATTAAAGTGGCAGTCCCAGATACATTTTAAGGATCAAAACTGCAGGGTTATTGTGTTTTAAAGACTCCTAGAAACGTTAGCCTACATCGATTGCTACTATCCGAAGCACTCTGGCGAATATTGGCTTTAATTCCAAACCAATCTCATTAAAAATACAGATCTAAATTTCATTAGATCTGACTAGTTTGTGATGAAAGTCACAAAGATGAACAGTACTTTGACGAAATGACATAAGGGTGTTGCCATGTCTAAGATTCGCACTAACTTTTTAAACTATTTCTCGGTGATACTTTAGTACCTGTCTTCTTTTCCCCTAAAAACACAAATCGTCAACAGAAAGAAACGTTCACTTCGCCGGATAGGTAAGGATAGTTGGTCAAAGGGAGGAAATCCCTGACCTTGGTTGATCTATAAATAATATCCGAATTTGTTTTGAACGTCACGGTAAGTATAGTAGCTCGTCTTTCTTTGTTTCTGCATAGAAATATGCTTTTGTGGCCCCGTTTTTGGTCATTTCTGATACACAGCATCTAGACTAGAATAAATTCCTTCCATCTTGAATAACCAGTCTTTTAGACAGATGTCGATAACGAAAAATGGCTCTTTTCATTTTCTTTGTTTTGTGGGACAGAGATCTCATATTATTTTTCATAAAATACACTAACAGGAGCGGCAAAGTCTACTTATTGCTAATTCATGATATTTTGTCCATTTATTTTTACAAATTGCATTACTTATTACATGAATTCGTCACGATTCGAAAGGACCTCTTTTGTAAACCAATGAAAACGATTTTAACAAACTTGGTGTCAAATTGAAGCTTACATTCGGAGGAACATTTCTTTGGGACAACTTGTGATTATATGGAATAGATTCTATTTCAGATCTGTTTACATAACGACCTATGAATTTTTTTTGATTTCCTGGAATTTTTGCATTATTATTGGCACCATGAAAAAACACTCCCATAATATTATTAAGCACTAGCTTAGCTATTTGCATGCCAAAAATTATTTAATTCGGATTAAATGGTTCTCTATCCATCTCTTGCAAAATGTGGGCGTATCTTGTCTGGCAGCCGCTGGTTACGTTGTGGACCCTCTAGAGCTCACAGGTTTTATTTGATCATTACATCATAATTACGGTTGAGTGCAAATATCGTGAAAATCGGACCGAAACTTCCCGACAAAATGGCCGCTTCCCTTAAAAGCATGTAAAATCCAGGCTGTGGACCACCTTGAGGTTCGAATTTTCATCCCATTTGATACATCCCAAAGGTCTAGGTTCCTTTTGATATTGGCGCCTATTGGACCGTAACTTTCTGGATGATAACCCTTGATTGTACGAAATATCATGTTTTTAGCTAGTGGGCCCTCTAGAGGTCATCATGTTTTTTTTTTATATCTTATTTACAAAACCGTTCAAATACCCCCCATTACGCAAATAGTATAAAAGTATGTAATGCCCAGGTTGTCACAACTTTTATTCGATTGATTGGGTCCCTGTCTTTTAGACGAAATGTGAAATATGAATGAAGTTTCTGGAGATTCCAGAGGCGACAATTGTTGTCCGATTCATGAGATGAAACTTAAACTAAGTGTTAAGGATCAAAAGTTCTTGGATGAGTTCGACATTGGTACGCACCGGACCTTACATTCTAGAGCTATAGCTCCTGTTTTTTAAGCAATATGTGAATATGTATGAATTTTGTAGACCCTCCAGATGGGCTACAGGAAACTTAACAAATATGTTAAGGATCAAAAGATCTTGGAATGAGAGGATACGCTCTATTGATTTTACCTCTTCTCCATATATTTCTTGCAAAATGTGGGTGTATATTGCATGGCAAATGCTTGTTTCAACTGGTCATAACTGAAAACAGTTATGTGAGGAAAACTCTATCCCGGAGTACTACCCCCCCCCCACCCACTCCGTCGGGCATGACGTAAAAGCGTTGAACTAAGGAGACACCTTAGATATATTTTAATGAACACATCTGGTTAATTATGTGTTGAAAGCCCGTTTCTAGATCCAAACAAATATCTGAAGCTCTGTTACACGTTTTCAAAGAAATGCTATCGTCCAGTTGTCCAGAGCTTGTATAGCAATCGCCTATTGACAATTGAGCAACTTTCATAAACGGTAATTCGTCTGGTAATTAGATAATTCTTGTCAGGAATACTCCACCACTACAAATTTCTGGCAATTACATAGCTGTCGGGAGTACTCCACAGTGGTTTTGTAATACCTGAAGATGTCACACTTTCACACTTTCGAGCTGATCTAGCCTAGTTTGGGGGGGGGGGGCATGGCATTTTGGGCGTGGAATACCACACCCACCATTAGGTATCCGACAGACTTACATTCGGATGATACCAGATATGCATGCATTGATACCATATAGGAGAAAATTGGTACACTTTTCACTCAGCTAGGTTGAACCCCTGGGCTCCCGCTCTATAAAATTTTGAACCAACAGAAGATAACTATTCAGATTCGTAACCATTGCTTCAGGAATGTGCGCATGCCTAGAACATTAACAGTTTCTAGTATTTGGGGGTTTTGGGAGGTTTTCATCACCGTTTTCTTTCAACTTTGTTACGTCTCTATTTTGTAGATACTGATGACTATATTGGATGTTTTGGATTTTTTGACGATGCAGAATTTAATGGCACAACCGCTTCTGCCACGGAATCTTGTAAAAGCGAATGCCTTTCTCAAGATATGCCGTTTTACGGTATAGGTAGGTAATCATATATTTATATTTCCTATTGATATAACTTTACTTTTTTTTTATTGATTTAAACAAAATCTTTATAATATGCTATGACATCAATTGTTTAGCTTCTATCACTTTTGTTTTTACTTTCACTAAGGGGGTCGCTGTGGCAGAGATTAAGGTGCTAGCTCAGTCTAGTCGTTTGGATGTGACGAAAAACCGGCGCCCTGTGTACATGCTGGCGTACACGTAAAAATAGTTGGAATTCAATTACTCTCCGGGCAAAATTTATCTCATACACACTGCATTGCGTATGCCCGCCTTCATTAACACAATTGGTGCATAAAAGTAGGACGTTCAACCACATTTAATTAATTCATTCATTCAATACTTTTATTATACCTTAGCCAAAGACAATACTCAATAAACCTGTCGGACACGGACTATTTCTATCAAAGGGAAATAACTATTAATTACTTCTACTAGACCGGTCTCAGATCACTAAAGATTTCCCCATTGACTTTAATGTTAATTCTCGTATCTTAGACCGGCTCTAACTTTTTCCCAAATTTTCGTTGGGTAGAACGCTTTCTACCACAGATGGAGCAACATGTGGCAACCTCTTGCCCAAAAGCAAGTATGAGGTTCTTCATGAAAAACTTGAGATACACATGCTTGAAGTAGAGACTAGTAAACACTTCAATTTCAACCTAATCAACCTCTCAACTCTTGTATCCTTCCGCATCAAAATTATGAATATTCACCAAAACCTGGCAGAAAATGTATTTTTTAAAACCCTTTTCTTCGATTCTACACCAAAAGGTCAACAAAAATCGCCATGCAAAAGAAGGAAAAGGGAGAGGAAGACTAAAAATAGCTTTGACCCTTGTTCCTAGCACGATATTTCTGGTGATCTGTGTCCAAAAGCCATTCTAACCAGACATTTTCATCAGTTATTTAATCATGAATTATCTAACCTAGCACGACATTTCTTCTCTGTTCCTGGGTATTATCTGTGGGGTCTTCATTTTCTCCTTTTAGCGCTTGTATCGTGCGATTGGATCCATGACAGAGGCGTGTACCCTGAATTATTTTCTTTTATTTTTCATATAAATTTATGTTAGTACATGTATTAGTATTATCTATGATCAGTTCATTAATAATCACCCAGTCGCCATTTTTTTTTCTAGATTGTCCTATAACCTAGTCAATATTTAAACAATCCTAATCTAATTATACCGACCGTTTAAATTTGGCCTATAATCAAATAGGGTTATTTCTAGTGCAATGGTATTGGCACCTCGCGTTAAATCACACCGTTTTGTGACTCCAGGCTCCAACAATTTGATTAAACTCAGACGGCAGATTCGTTCTCTTTCTTTTATTTATCCTTTTGTAAATTTTATTTGTACTGTAAACGCCACAAAACTAAATGTAACGAAATTGTAATTCAACTATTAATATTGTTTCTGTTTTTAAGAATTCATGGCTTTCAAATCGACCATTAAAATTATCGGGCGAAATTTGACGTCTTGTTTTTTTTTTAAATTTCAGCTGTGGCTGATTTACAGACAGATTGCTATTGTAGTAAAAGTCTAGGAAAATATGGCATCGTTGATGATGGAAACTGTCCAGTTTGTGAATCCTGTACCAATCATCGTGGTCATATATCTAACCATACCATAGCCCTGTACAGAACTTACGGTAAGTAATCGTTATAGTCGGGCGTGTTGGGGTGGGGTGCGATGCGATAAAATTTGGTCGTTGCACGTTTAACAATAACTGAATATATAGTACCGCCGGTCCAAAATGGCATTTAAATTCCAACATCGTACAAGGTCCAATTTATTAAGCTTAATGATGTACCGGTATCTAGATTCTTAGAAAAGCACGGGTGATCTGATCTATATAGCTGTGTGTTTCGGGTTCATGAACAAACAGATCTAACAAATGCCCCGCTATTTAATAGTAAGTAAAGGCGGACCGCACCAAACATAACAACGGCTACTAATTAGAAAGCCACAAGACAAATACACGTACAACGTGTATTGGCTACCATTTTGCTAATAATGGCGTAGTTTCTTCACACAGTTGTATTTTGTTATGTGGGTCAGGGAAGACGCACTGTCCGTGTTATAAGCCCTCTTTGGGTCACTCTAACAGGCCTAATAGCTGATTTTATCAATCAAAATAATGATTTTTTGAAGCACCCATTTGAAGCACATATTACCCAAGTAAACCTATTATCTAAAGATGTTAATTACCTTCGAATCTTTTGTTCTGCAGATAAAAATTGTGGGAGTGTACCTGAAATAGGAAATTCTACCTACACTATAATACATGGTTATGATCATGAGAGTGTCAATGGATTCGGTACTCAGTTGACCTTCACCTGCCTTGAGGGTTACGAATTTCCTGACTTTCAGACATCTAAAATCATTCATTGTTGCAATAACAATACATGGAACCTCCAACTTGATTCCTGCAAATGTAAGTAGCCTATATTAGTAGTGTTAGATAAAGGATATTCTTTTAACTGGTGGCTATGTTTGTATACTCACCATAACATTTAGCATCACCCGCACCCCGCACCCCACCCCCTCCCCAACCCCCGTGTGATATTTGTTTAGACTTTCTTGCGAAAAAACGTTACGACGTTACATACTACCTGCCTCATGATTTCCCAATGCGACTTCCCCTTGTCAGTTCGGGTGGGACAAAAATTTGCCCAGCGAAGGTTCGAGAGGTAATAGATAAATTTATCAAGACACATAGGCCTACAGAGTAAGGCGTGGGAACTAATCAGCAACTAAGAATGCATCTAACCATCTGCAGAAGAGCGTCTGGCAGTTTCAGAGAACGGTTAATTTTTAAAGAGCAATATATAGGTGAGGTGTTAGTCATTATCACATGTGTGATATAGAAGTGGTTAAATATATTCTCACACTCACAGTCTCACATACCAACTTTTGGTCTTCGAAGGAATTATTAGTGAGCAGAAATTCGCCCGTCACTCGTCACTTCAATCAGTTACATAGAAGGATAACTCGTGTTTTCCTTCTGCTTTCGTCACTTCCGTTTCTTGAAATTTTAATCACGCATCTATAGAGGCAATGATTCTGCGTTAAAATTATATTTGGAACGTGTTTATAACAGTTCTATCACATATGCGATAATGACTAACCAATCTTGTCCTTTAAATACATCTGTGGCCGGTCCTTTAAAGCATTGGTCGACACCAGTTAACAATGAATCTGCATTCCTCATAAATTCCGTTATCTTGTAGGTCTATCATGGGAATATTATATAGAGCGATACAAGTAAACAAAAATAAATTGGGTTAATTTTGTTACTTCCGAGATCACGCCAATGACACTTGGCCATTGTATTAACATGGGATCGTGGTTTCGTTGAAAGTTTAGAACATGATCTATTTTTTTCAGTAAAGGAGTGTCCTGTCCCAATTCCTGTACCTAATAATTATATCGAAGGCAAATTGTACCAGTTTAACAGTACCGTGAAATATTACTGTAACCCGGGGTTTGAATATAGCACCGGTGCTACATATTACACCTCGGTGTGCCAGGCAAATAAAGAATGGACCAGCTTACCGCCAACCTGTGAAAGTAAGTCACATAAAAGAGACCACTGAAAAGAAATGTTATTGCGTCGACAAAGATCGACCACAGTCACGTTTTGTGTGACAATCATTTTATTTCATCAACAAACGTTTAAATTCGACTAGCTAACAAATCGGTTTTATTTTCTTGGTGGTTTTCCTTTGTATTGTTGCACGTAAACAACCGATCGTATGTTATTTAATGTTGGTCTAAAAAAAAGTGTGGTTTTGGTTACATTTAGCGAGCCACGTTGACACGGGTTCGATCGCATTGTTCTCCGAGAATGTTTGGAAACTTAGAATTCGTTGAAGGGTAGGCTGAAACGCCGCTGTCCGAGCAAATTATCCCTCATAACACACTGAATGACGTATGTCCTTCTTCATTAGCCAGATTGGTGCAGTAAAGTAGGGCGTTAAATCCCAATTTATTTCATTTCATATGATTCTATTTAGTGTATATGGGGTGTTACGTGATGTAGACCATATAGGCCACCTTTTCTAGAGAATTTTAATGTGCCATCCAACTCCATTGATAGCATTTGTAGTATTACATGATTCGTAGGAAAATAGCCATAGCATAAGAAAAAAACGAAACCAGGCTAAATTTCGAGTTTTAAGACATATAAGTTTAGGGTTTGACAAGTTCAGAAATTCGGCTATAGGGCATAATTAAGGCACACAATTTTGATCCAAGATGGCACTATTTCAGTGTAGGCATATTTTGTCGTCACCCTATCCGTCCGTTCGTTGGTCCGCCAACAACTGACTTGTGAATGCGATCAAGGCCAAAGTTTTTGGCGGATTATCGTTTTCCAAATTTGGTGTAAATCACTATGGTAATGAGAGGACGAACCCTATCGATATTCAGCGTTTCGCGACCTTTCGTACCAGGGTTATACTCCCTTTTCCGAAAAGTTTGTGAACGCGATTGGGCCTTTATTGCGGGGTCACGGTGGCTAAGTGGGTAAGATGCTGGCTCGCTAGCCTGGAGGTCGGGTGTTCGAACGCTGCATTGGCCGAGAAAGTTCATCCAGATTTTCCGGAGGGCCTGACAAGGACAGCTGTCTAGTCATTCGGATGGGACGAAAAACAGAGGTTCCGTGTACACATTGGCGTGCATGTAAAAGATCCCTTGACAGTTGGAATTCGATATAAGAGTATGGCGTATGCCCGTCCTCATTAGCCCAGTTCGGAGCAGAACAGTAGGACGTTAAACCCCATTTCATTTCATTTCTGATAGGGGCTATAGTTTTTAATGGATAATTTTCTAATTTGGTAGGACACATGGCTATCTTTTAAAATAAATTTGACAGTATATATTTCATAAAATTGAATCAAGTTTAAACTGTTTTTCACAATAGTATATTGAACGAAATCCCCTATACCCCAAACACTTTATCCGGCTTAAGTAACGCTATAATACTTACCCCACAATCAATATGGCACATAATAATATAGGGTGTTACAAAATCAATTACATAATACTTATATTAAATAATATATGTTTCTTTACGGGAGCAGATGTACCATCAATTGTATATAATACTCTCGCGTCAATCAATTGCATATGTTTCTACATATTTTTTATAGGAATATCGTGTGTAGCTCCACCTATTGTTGAGAATACTATTATCACCGCCACACCACCAACAGGTTATCTCTATAATGATAGTATTACTTATACCTGTATACTAAACTCAGATAAACCAGACAACACAACACAGTCTACGATAAGGTGTACAGAAAATGGTACTTGGAGTGAAACACCGCCAGATTGTGAATGTTAGTCCTATTACATTTTCATACGCCCACATTTTCATGTGGACGTACATTGTCGTCGGCCCTGTCCTGCACCCGGACGTCCATCCATCCGTTTACATTGTATTTGTGGAAAATTGAAATATAGGTTTAGATTCTAAAGATCTCGGTTCCTGTCGATATTAGTATGCATCTTCGTAAATTGTGGCTCTTGATTATACGAAAAATCACGTTTGGAGGTTACAATTTTTATAACCCAAAGATCTCGGATCCTTTCCATATTTCCTGGATTATGGTCTCTGATTGTACGAAAAATAGCGTTTTTAGCTTGTTGCCCCCTCTAAGTATCACAATATTTATCCAAATTTGATGAAACTTAACACATATCTTTATATCCCAAAGTTCTTAGTTCCTTTCGATATTGGTGCATATCGGACCATAACTTATGGCGTCAGATTGTACGAAATGTCTGACAAAATGAACGCTTTCCTTTACGATGTTGATGAAACTTAAAATATATGTTCATACCCTAAAGATCTCTGTTCCTGACTGTATTAACGCATGTCGAGCCGTAACATCCTGGATTATGGCCTCTGATTGTACAAAAATCTCTTTTTGTTAGCTTGTTCTCTCCATTTCTTGCAACATGTGGATGTATCTTGCATGGCAACCGGTTGTTAGTCTATTGTTCTCGACCATTTTATTAAAAGGCCAAATGTGGACATATATAGCATCACCCCTGACCGTCCGTCTTTTCATGGTTCTTTTAATCGCACTACTGGTCAAATGTTTTGTAATTCTTCGGCCAGTCAAATTCTGAGACGTCGGGATTATTTGTATAGTCCGAAGGACGACCCCTGTCAAGGGTCGGAGGTATCTTTTCCAAACTGGTCTGTAATGTGAGACTAAGCGTAGTAACCATATTAAAACTTGTACATAGCGTTTATGAGTAGTTATTGCCCTTGACATCACATATTATTTAAAATCCGCGCCTAGTGCTATGTTTTTCTTTTCCTTTTTGCTTAGAGATCAGGATCTGCCCATGACTCTTATTACCTGTATTGAGCGTGGATTAGGGATATGGCTTAGTCTATAGTTGCTAGATATGAGATCACAGATTATGGAATCACTAGCTCCAAACTAAAAAAAGTAATGTAATACTGTATTAATAGTGTAATAATATATTAATATTTACTGAACAACAGACAATATGGACATAAAAAAACCCAACAACACTGGAGACAAGAGTAAAATACGCAACTTCAATAGTGTTGTTCATGCAACTAAATCGACAGCATGACAAAGTTTAAACTAAAATTACAATCCATCAGGAATATGGCGTTTAATTATTATAAATGATGCCCCCTTTGACATACAGTGACAAATGGATGAGTTGTAAATTATAACATCTGGGTATTTGGGTGTGTCACCCATGAAATGACCACATTCGCGAGATTTCAAATCATCATTTATTCAGAATTTATAGGATTCAAGTGAAAGTCAGAAATGTAAATACATCGATTTGGGAATTATCTTTTTTTCGCGCCATTTTATCTCAATGGCGAAAAGAATCTGATGATATATATTTTTATTACGGTCATTCGTAAATCAAATTTATAGCCGACATTTATTTTTTTTATCTGTAGTGTATGCTTGTTCAACTCCACCCGATGTAGTTGGTGTAGCAGAGATAATAATGGTAACTCCTGATATAACCCAGTACAACTGTCTAGAATCTTATCAATTTTCTGATAATACAACTCAGAAGAATGCGTCCTGTGGTTTAGATTTTCATTGGATACCTGTCAATGATATCTGTAGATTACCAGGTAAAAATATAACTCAACCAAGTCTAGATAAAAGAAAATATAATTATTGACAGGTATGACGAGTGCCACATAAAGATTACAATACAATTTCGTCTGAATGGATTCATTTCAATTTTGACAAAAATGAAAGAAATACATAGAGAAGGGGTTCTGTATTGTTTGACGGCAGAGAATTAAAAGCGAAATCGTAGATATATTTCAATGGAGAAAACTGACCCTTGCGTTTATGAGGACACCCAATGAAAAATTAGGGGTGAGCTTTTAGACGTAGCCCATATAAACTAAGGGCGGGACTATTTACCCAATACTACACAATACCACCAAATACTAACTATAAATACTACCAGATACCACCACATACTACCTCAATATTGTGAAAAACTAACAGAAGACTTCAGTTATATAAACGATTTAATTTGTGGAAAACTTGCACAAATGTACGGCAAAAGTTACCGCCTTTGATCACACAATACTAACAAAATATTAACCCATACTATCAGAAATCAATCTATATCTGTAAAATAATGGGTCAATATAACCCAAAAATGAGATAAAAGTACAATAATTATGTGTTGAAAATAAATTATTTATTCAATGTTTAGCCGTTTTATTTACCACTGATACTATAAATAGATATTTCAAATGTTTTCTATTGTCAAAGCAATTATAATTTTAAAACGGCTCAATATTTTGAGCTGCAACTTTCAAACAAGCATTTCACAATATCGAAAACTTAATTGGTAAAACCATTAAACGACAATAACCCCACATCCCCTTGACTTAAAGTAGCTATGTCTCTAACTCAATATCATCCAAAATCTTCGACATTGAAAACACGAATTATTTGTCAATATAAATCAACATTGATGTTGTGATCTTACCGGGAAAAGATGTGCTTTTGATATCCAATATTTAACACAAAATAAACATTTTACCATTGGTACACGAATCGTGTACCATAATGCGTCTCAGGCCCATTCTAACAAGGGACTCGAAGAACGAGGCTTGACATTCTACAAATCATGTCTAACGGTGACGGCATATTCATATCGGGAGAGTTTGCGCAATAAATACTATGTAGACTAGAATAACCAAACGCTAGAAATTTTTATTCGATTGAGACTTCAAAAATATTTCGCCAAACGTAACTGATTTGAAATTAGAGTAAAAATGGAAACGATTGAATGTAAATCAGTTTATATATATTCCTATAACATTATTATATGCGTTACGACCCATTTGTGTCAATTTCTAGGTACAAAAAATTAGCGATTTAGCTCCTTTAATTAAGTGCTGATAAAGCATTATCTGTGTTATTGCTGCAACACCACCAACATACATGCTATCATAATTTATTACCCGATAAATGCATTTCGCAGATGATATCGTCTCTTTGGTATCTTATGCGATATCTCCCGAGAGAGATTGCTTCTCTCTCTCTACATTTTTTACTTGTGTTGATATATTTGATAATGCAAAAGACGTACCAAATAAAAATCTATAGACGTAAACCTTACTATCGGAAACCTAGCTAACATTTTGACCATTGGTGCTTTTAAGCAGCTATAATGATCTATTTTATTCTTCTGAATTACTGAGGCAATATTTTTATTCAGGACATCTGAATGGGATTGGGAAACAGTCTTGGCCTATGTAAAACCCCTCCCCTAATACATAATACAAAAGCACGAAGGGGTGTATATACATAGTTAAATGGCAAATATATAATATTGGATGAAAATGTATAGTATATTATAGGTTATAGTCATACATATACACATACGCATTATGCTATTATAACAACGGGCCTAATGGTGAAAACAAACAACAATATTGGAGAACAGGCCAAAGATATCATATGCATAAAATTGAAAATAAAATTCTAATTGATCGAGACTAAAATATGTTTGACATACAAATAAACTTATGGACTTGATTAAAAGTATTATTGTTTACATCTAGACTGGGGGTCATCCCGTTATGCCACCCGCTATTGCGACAGAATCAGAATACAGAAGCTCAAATACGAACTATTATTATTATTATTATTACTATTATTAGTATTATTATTTATTTATTTCTTATTTTTATTTTAAATTTTTAATTTTGAAAAATAATTTCTAATTTACATTTTTAGTTTCGATTTTGTAGAATAATTTTTATTTTTGTAATTTTTTATTTCCTATTTTGTAAAATAAATTTTAATTTTGTATGATAATTTTTAATTTTGTATAATAATGTTTAATTTTGTAAATTCATTTTTAATTTCGTAAATTCATTTTTAATTTCGTAAATTCATTTTTAATTTTGTAGAATAATTTTCACTTTTGTAGAATAATTTTCACTTTTGTAAATATGTTTTCAAATTTATCAATTTGTTTTCAAATTTATCAATTTGTTTTCAAATTTATCAATTTGTTTTCAAATTTATCAATTTGTTTTCAATTTTGTCAATTTATTTTCAATTTTGTAAATTTATTTTCAAGTTTGTAGATTTATGTTCAAGTTTGTAAATTAATTTTTAGAGTAACAGACTATATTAAGGCCACATCAGTAACTGGATTCGAACGATAGTTGCCAGACAACGTAACATACGCCCACGGCAGTAATGAAAACATTTACAACACACTAAAATCTGATTACGAGCAACAACCTATTTGACTTTTAGTTCTGTCATATACTAACATTTAATATCGGGCAATAATTATCGTAAATCGTTGAATATCAATAGACCCTTCGTCTCGTGACCTTAAACACTGTGTAAAATATAAAGTCAATCGGATATTAACTTTAGCCTCAAGTGATCAAGGGTCAGTAAGTATTGGAAATCGATGAAAAGCAATAGGCCTCTTCGTGTCATTACCTTAAAGGGACAATAACACTCTTGCTGGCTTGAAAGATCCAGAAAATAAATAATATCTCTATCTAAGTACTAGATGTTTAAGTGTCCTACCTGTTGTGTAAATTATCCATTACATCCTATTTTACTTGTTCATGGGGTTCGAAAATATTTTTAAATCGAAGTTTCATTTGAAAAGGTTTACGTTAGACGTTTCAAACCATTATGTTGAATTTTTCAAAATTTTTCAATAAAGTGTGTTAAGATGAAATTTGTATCATCAATTAATTGAAATATTCTAAAATAGTACAATTTGTTGATCAGAATAAAGATTGGGACATATTATTCAGTTACAACAAGAGTGGTATTGAGCCTTTAAAGACTGTGTATAAATTTAAAGTCAATCGGATATTAACTTTGAGCGTATAAAAATGGATGCTTGGATGACTCCAAACGGTGTTTTCTTCCTGTGTGTGTTTTCGGTTTTATGTGTAGTCCCACGTTTTTTGTGAGGGGGTCAATTTAGTGGATTACTTGCAACTTTGTTCCAATAACAATTTTTTTGATCGAAATGATAGGCCTAGTACAATTACTACTACTACTGGAAAGCCTTGTCGCCATTTTGTTGATAACAGACGCTTCGGCCTACCTCGAATTTTGATACTTATATTGCACTGTATTGTTTGATTTTATATTATTCATAGTGTTGAAAAAAACACAACACAACTTTATGGATAACAATCACTAGCAACTTTAATAGTGCAACGTTTCAACAAGTGTCCTCTTGTCGTTATCAAGCACAGGGTAAAAAACGATAATATGATACAAAAACCTGGGAGTAAGCATGTAAGTATAAAAATTGAGAAGAAGCCACAAAGACAAGAAATACTATTCTAAGTGAACATATAAATTGTAGTTAAATTCTGTGGGTTTTGGTGAGGGGGATTTTTTGGTTTTTACTATTTGATATTCACAATACCTTTGCCATAATTATTAGCCATGTGTTAAAATGAAGCCTTATGTTTTTCTAGCTTATACTAAATATGTTTTCTTTAACCATCTAGATCTTAACCAATTAGTTTGTGTAATGGCTTCCTAATTATCTAAGTATTAAGTATTGTAATCATAACCCCAATTTGTCTTTGATTTTTTTATATTTAAACAGAATAGTATTTCTTGTCTTTGTGGCTTCTTCTCAATTTTTATACTTAAATGCTTACTCCCAGGTTTTTGTATCATATTATCGTTTTTTACCCTGTGCTTGATAACGACAAGAGGACACTTGTTGAAACGTTGCACTATTAAAGTTGCTAGTGATTGTTATCCATAAAGTTGTGTTGTGTTTTTTTCAATGTTAGTCCTATCACTAAATGCCTTATAAACAATATTCATAGTGTTGTTGATATAAAATAAAAATAATAATGGCCCTAATATGCTGCCCTGTGGGACAACAACGAGAATTCCCCTGGAGTTCGAGGAGATTCCGTTTATTATGACACATTGTTGTCGATTATCAAAATAGTTCTTGAACCACAATAATAATCCTCCTTGGACCCCACGTATCTTGAATCTAATCGGTAGGTGATCATTAACTAGCTGTCCGCATTTTACTCGTCATGGTGTGACTGTGGGAAAATTGAAAGCAAAAATATTTCTGTTAGCAGTAACGACAAAATATGCTTTGGCTCTAAATTGTATACGAAATTCTCAGCTGTTTCAATGTGACTGTGAGGAATTTAAAGTCGTGGATATCCGACCTGGTACATCTTCCCACCAGGAGATTAAAAACATTTTAAAAGGACATTAAACACTTGTCATGGTTATTTGACATGAATTATTCTTAAATCTCTTAAAGAGTCGACACAAACTATCAACCGTCTTTCAAAATATTCCCCACTGTGGCATAAACTACCCATGCGATACATTTATCCACAGACATAATAAACCTATAACGGTAAATCTCTTTTAAACTTTGGGGTATATTCTATGCCCGGAATAATTTGCGGTCTAAAAGTCGGGGGGGGGGGGGTCGACTTTGAATATATACAGGGGAATTTGGGGTTATTCTTCTGAAAGTTTTTCTTCAAACCTGTAACGGGTTATTCTTCCAGGGTAGAGTTTTTTTGTATTAGAAAACATGATATAAGGTTTTTCTTACTGGAATTCTGGGATATTCCCATTTTACGTACATGTAAACATAGCCGGTTTATAAGCAAGATAAAGTCCTCGACTTTGTTTATACTGGGGAAGAAAGACTCCAGAAAAAACCCTCGACAGAATTCTGGGATATTATCATTTACGTACATGTAAACATTGGCGGTTTATAAGCAAGATAAAGTCCTCGACTTTACCCTCGACAGAAAAACCTCGGCTTCCCGGCCCCGGTTTTTCTTTTTCTTGGGTTATTTTCTTCAGTCTTTCTTTCCCCAGCATAACTTTAGTCTCGTGCTTTACCCTACACTAAATCTTAATACAGGGTGTAGACATTCAGCATTCTTTGTAGATTATTAACAGATCACGTTTTTTCATTCAATGGTAATATTCATTATGTCTGCGTAAGAAAATTAATGAAGCGAGTCCCTTCTATTTCATCATTTTAAAATATATTATTGTCGGCTATACTTTGATATAATAATCTGTTGATATATTATCAAGAACATTTTGTTGCATGTAATTAATCATTATATTTTAATTACAGGGGAAACTACTGGGTGCTGTATTGTGTGCAGATAGAAATGTGGATAGATAGCATTAAATGCGATTGCCGGTATTCCGTTATACACATAGGAGTACGAGCTGGGGGCTGGAGGGCGGCCGCCCCCATTTTGGGCACCAAATGCTGGGAAAATTTGGGCACACAATTGTATTTTGTAAAAGTTGTATAAAAAAAAGCTATTGTGTTCTTGAATGTGTCCAATTTAACAGCGAATTTATTATTATTATGTAACATACTAAGAACCTAACTACATTTTTGGGGCACCAACCACCACCGCCCCCCCCCCCCCAGTCAAAAATTTCCCCGTACGCCTATGGTTATACAAACCGTCGCACTAAACGATCATTTATAAAACAATGCATATGGTAACCTTTAACACTTGACAGGTGTATCTCGGTTTTTTTTTCTTTTTCTTTTCAGATAATTTGATAACAACTGAGGGCTATTTCTGTCAAGTACGAGACGGAATTAGACGAACAACAAATAACATGATCGCCTACAAATCTCGCAGTAGAATGGATTGCGCTTTGAAATGTGTGAGCAATGTGGAGTGTTTATCATATAACTTTCATTCGGGTTATGAAAATAACTGCGAACTTTTGATGCAACCACTAGAAGATATTCAGGACACTACTGAAGAACATTGGTATGGTTACAATGTGGCGTATCGCTTAACGTGCCCATCCAATACAAATTGAAACTGTATTGTAAATAAAAAACGAACGCAGCCGAAATATGTAATAATAACATGCAGATATAGGTTGCAATATTATTAGCGGCTGGTATTAAACAGATGTTGCGTAAAAAATATGTTAATTCTAGAAAAATTACATGTAACCATTGGTGTATATAAATGTTATTGCAAGGAATTATATATTTATTATTCTAAATGAAAAAGAGAAACATCAGGAGCCTCTATTAGCATTTATGTGAGAGTTTAAGCGCAATTTTTGAAAATATAGGCGTTACAGCAGCATTCTTCAGTTTGTAAAATCTTTTGTTGCATAGTGATCGTATAATCTGATAAAAAGACCGAGGAACTCTTTAAGATGGATGTTCAATTACTGCTATGTAGTTATGTTGTGATCTGTCAAGATACAGAATATATACAAAATTATATTTATTGGGTGTAAAAAGTTTTTTGTGAAAGCTATTTTAAGCAGCAATATGAAAATAGAGGTAGGATATTTTTAGACCACTGATTGTTCCATGGTTCAGTAAAATGTCAAGTTATTTACAAATTAATCACCCCTGCTGCAACTTCTAAACACGGGTGATAACTTTGTAAAATAAATTTAATACATTGTTGATTCCAATTTTTAAAACAAATCCCTTTTAAACAAACGATTCGGTATTCTGACCAAAATTGCGTTGGTCTCGACCTTATCCTACTACGAACATACTTTTTTTTTTTATTTTAGCCTTCTTATATGCATAGAACTAAGCTTATTTTTAAATCGCAAGAATTTTTTGATTGTGCTTATATATTCCTTTACGCTGCACATGTCTTTTATCTAAATCTAACCATGGATGTTGTCTGAGGTAGGCTTTTGAAGACCAACCAGTAAAGATCGCGTTAAGATTAGTGAAACGGTTTAAGGTGATTTGTACTAACCCTATAAAGAACGAAACCTCACATCAAAGATTCTTATATCCGTTCAAAAAGCCAATATTGATTTAGTTACAATTTAAGTTTTAAAACGGGCTAATAATAGCACCCAATAACATAAAATATTTTTACTTTTTTGCTTGCTAATAAACGCCAGAGAAATATTTTCTCCTCCAGATTTTTAAAAATAAAGAAACATGAGTGGATTTAGGCAGGTAGTTTAATATCTCGGGAATGAAATAGTTTTTGACACAGTAGAAAGAACACTTTAAACAAAAACAAAGGATAAAGGCAGCTGGGGGTAAACAAATAAATCCAAAGCACATTGTAGCCGGTATTATTTATTTGGTATTTAACCGTTTGTTGATTCAGACGAGGTTTGTATTTTTAACGTTCTTCATAAACATTTTTTTTATAAACGCTTTCTTGCTTTTGGTATCTCTAAAAATGTATTTTTATATCAAAATAGATGTTTTATTGGATTTTTTTTATATCTTAACCACAGTCGGTATATTAAAAGAACTCCAGTGAAATGGATGTAGAATTTAATTCGAATTATTTGTAAACTTTGTTCAAAGCACATGTCTTCAGCGTCTTAACCGTGTATGCTCAACATCTAAAATATTTTGACAAAGAATCTATATAATCCATAAAACTTGTAAAAAACGACGATGGTTGTATCTTAACAGTGAGATGGTACACAGTTTCTCAGGCACACTGTCTCTCGTGTTCAAATTCTGGAATTTATTCGCTCAATATATTAGATTTGTCTAAAATAAAAAAAAATCATTTTTGGCCAAAAGCTACCCCATGCCTTAATGACGAAAGATTTAAGTCTGTAGCAAAAGGTTATAAAGTCTGATTTACGATATTTTTAGAAATTCATATTCTTTTGCCTCTTTTGGTGCATATACAAGTATTTGTTTAGCGTAGTACCTGTTTTGATTAATTACAACATTTAAGACTTAAATATATACTAATATTTTGTTTTTCTATTTTTTTTTTATCAAACTGGGTTCAATCTGAAATATTGACATCGTAATATATAGTCACCCTTAACACATTTTTTTTTTTTTTTTGTGGGGGGGGGGGGGGTTAAACAATATAAATGGGTTATATAGCTGATACCTTAATGTTCAGTGCAAGTGGTATCTTTTAACGCCCTCATTGTGATGGATCAAGGTTAGCAGCGTACATGTGCATTTACTTCTGAGTATCGGGCACAACGGAACGGGGGTACTAACGTTTTTTTTTGTTCTAAATGATTACTTTCACTGTAGCCAAGTTTGTCTCGAATCAATAAAGCGTTTACATTGGTGTTCCAATATTTGTTGAAAATTTAACAATGCGGATATTTTGACACTTGGTTGTGTGATTATACAAAATTTTTAACACGTTTAGCGGGTAAAAATTGGTTAAGGCTTATTACATTTTACCCCATTAAACATAAACGAACGTGTCTTGGCAAAACCTGTTTTTCTACAATAGGCATTCCATAATATAACGGAAATGACAGGCACGTCGCGAGGAAATTTAAGAGTTCATAAACACTATTTATATCAAATAATAGGCCTATATGTAAATTTACCATTTATCAACTTACGTGAACAAGGTAAGGCTATTTCTATAGCACCGTTAAATTAAAGCTGGGTTTATACAGTATTTTAATCAGCCTCGTTTCGTTGGTGTCATTACCAGAGGTGCTGTTAGAAAGAGGGGGTGGGGTGCCTAAAATTAGGTTGATGTGATGTTATCTTTTTGATTCTATTGTTTTGTGCCTATTTCGGCCATTCGTCACACACGATACTGTCATTTGTTTTTTTTTTATCTGTACTCAGACCGCAAGTGCCGTTTGTGCCCTGGCAGTGCCATTGTATTGTAAGATCATGATGCCCTTTCGACCCATAAGGACAGTCAGTGCCGCCGAGCGAATTTTTATGTGCCGGAGCAAGACAAATTTTGCCCCGGCCCCGTTCCTACACCTGAACCTCTGCAAGGACTATGCAAAACAATAGGGTTTCTGACTTTACCCCTTCATAGCCAAGCAGGGCATCTGATCGGGGGCTCTGCATGACACGGATACCGGCCATTCCGACGTAAAAATAAATAAATATATATTTATGGGATACCTAAGTCTCCATGGGACCCGGAGCGGTGTACCCGTTGCACCCCATCTCCGTGGGCCAGAGGACAGCAAATGGTGAAATGAAATGAAATGAAATGGGGTTTAACGTCCTACTGTTCTGCTCCGAACTGGGCTAATGAAGATGGGCATACACCATACAGTGTGCTATGAGGGATATTTTGCCCGGACAGCGGCACTACGGCCTACTCTTATATCGAATTCCAACTGTCTAGGGATCTTTTAAGTCCTTGTCAGGCCCTCCATATTGCATCACTGACAAGGTGGAACCACGTCGGAAACAGCAAATGGTTCCATCATACATCTATACACAAGACATTCACAATACAGTTAAATCTAATATATAATCACAATGTAGTTAGATTCTAAATACTAAATGAATTACAACGATTTGAAAGTTCGTGTTTAACGCCACAAGCGAAATGTTTTATGATGTGTTTACGAGATAAATATTACCCTAATCGAGGGTTGATATATCGACCAAGGGTATATGGGTAATATTTGTCTTACATACCGACATCAATGTTAAATCTATCCTAATTGATTTCACCTATAAGACAATGGTTTAGCCCGACATCTAGAACCAATATTTTGTACATAAGCCGATGTACAGGACTATTTAAAGTTATGTTCCTTCGAGAGTGATTAGGTCATCTATTTGATCCATAATAGGGGATTCATCAAATATTATTTACTTTCAGGTTCATATTAAGCCCCGAATAAATTGAACATACATTATGCAAGAGCTAAATCTGCCTATTGCAAGTCTTTCTTTAGGCCTGAAATGTTATCTAAATTATTAATTAGACATTAATTAACTTATCCAGACCATAATCAACTTTCGATGTCATCGCTAGCCTGCGATATTTATTGGATTAGGTTCCGATTTGCTGTTCGACTTCCATTCATAATTTAATCATGAAATGTATAATCGAGACTATGTTTTTGTCGTACACAGACTTTAGTAATGATGATCGAGGATAGGCCGAAAATTCAATCGCTAAAATCAACAAATATATATTTTACCGGTATTTTAACTATACTTATTTAGGACCTCGACTGAGGGGTTTGGTGGCTTAACTAAGGTCTGTCATTGGGTCAAGTGGTTTGGTTTCAATTCCCAGCTTGTACGGGAGAAGGAGTTGGAATCGCCTGTCCAACCTCGTGGGTTTTCTCTGGGTTCTCCGATTTTCTCCAACTGCTAAAGACCCCGAATTATTGAATTATAATTGTACCGCAATGACCTAGTGTGTGTCGAATGGACACACATACACCCCCCCCCTCTCTCTCTCTCTCTCTCAATACGTATCTTTGTACGAAGCTCGTCATAACATTAATAGAGCAGTTTACTTCATTTGGTAAACAACGTTTTTCTCGCATTATAAAATTTCTGGCAAATGATCTCTGTGTCTGTTTTAATTGGCATGTGTTCAGCAAACAAATTTAATTTGACTTAATCAATTTATTTGGAGAAAAAAAACAACTAAAGCCAAACGCAGACGATGGAACATTTTAACCGAACATCCATGAAAACATTGTTCCGATCAATTTGTTCACCGTCTGCGTGTTAAAAAAACCACGTGTTCGTGAAATTTAAACTTGTTAGACTGCGTTGAAGCCGAACATTCGCGGAATATTTTTTTCAAGCAGCACCAATTAGCAGCGATCACAAACATCGTGATATGTATGCCATTTTGAAATCACGATATTTTATGTGGCGGTGGTAATGACGAACATGTATATATATGTTAATTATTATACGTCATTGTTCGAGCTAAAACAATCGTTCTTCTGCGGGACCATGTGCGTCGTCTGCGGTGATTTTGTGTGGAGCTAGACTTATGTTGGACCTAAAACTTCCTGCGTCTACAGGGCCATGTTCGTCGTCTGCGGACAACAGAACAAAAATATTTGTTCGGCGTTTTTGTTTGTCGACAAAATGCTCCATCCTCTGCGCTAGGCTTAATAGTTAGGATTCGGTTTAGCAAAACACTATACAGATCACATTAATGTGTGACAGTCCTCTATGGAAGACCAAACAACTCTTTTTTTTTCAGTGTTCTTAATTCTTAGTTCTTAATTGATAGTCCTTAATTCTTATTTCTTTATTTGTTAACGTATTTCGACAATTGTTTACTAAAATTAACATTTGCATTTGAAAATCACTATTCAACATTTATTGTATCTTAAAATCAATATTTGTATTTTAAAATCAATAAATCAATATGTGTATCTTAAAATCATTATTTGTATCTTAAAATCAGTATGAATTAAAAACTAAGAATAAGAACACTGATTAAAGTGTTGTTATGTCTTCATACTCCTCGCATCGTAATTTAATCCACCAGTCCATGAATTTTTTTTTTTATATTCTCGCATTGTAATCTAATATATGATCTATATGTTCTAATCCATTCAATATCATTCGATGGTACAGAGAGTTGATTATGGGCTTGTCTTGTGAACAAATGTTTAGCTAATTACTGGTTTACTTTCTTCAGATATTTAGTCTGACTAAAAGAATTTGATTATTGAACAAAAGAATCATAGAAGGGTGGTACTGCCTGACAGTGCCTGTAATCAACTGGTGAACCGTGGTTTCGTTTGATAAAATCTGGTATCTTGATACAGGATTTGGAATAGACATTTGGATTTCAGAAATATACTTTTTGTTAAATTTTCTAGTAAAGGGGGAAAGGGCAATAAAATGAAATCTAATTAATAATTCCACCCAATAAATGTTATAACAAGCACAGGGTTAATGTTGTCATTAAACATATATTATGCAAAAGCTAAATCTGCCTATTGCAGCTCTTTCTTTAGGCCTGAAATGTTATCTAAATTATTAATTAGATATTAATTAACTTATCCGGACCTTAAAGGGCCAATCCCGATAATATTTTGGAGAATAAAACTGCTTAATTTTGTGTTAAAATCTCTTAAAATTATCTACCTTAGGGCAGAGCAACTAACTCAACATATGAGATACGTTTTCAAACAACTTAAACCCGTCAGTCTTCATCTTGAAATGGAGATCGGTGCCCCAAGCTCTATTATGCGGTGTCTGGATGTAACCAGACTTTTATTTTATAAAAATAATGTGTAGGTGAAATTTACCTTTCGTTATCAAGTCAACACATGGATCATTCATTGTATAGACCTCTGACGGAACGGGAATCGTTTATCAGGTCATCCAACGAAAAAATTTACCCAAAATCTTAAAAGGGTTACGTGTCCGGATAAGCAGTTTCGACGCTCACGCCCAAACGACTCAATATTTTGAGCTGAAATTTTGAGAAAAGGTAAATACACCATTCCTCTATATTTTGGCGCTTAAATTTCATACGTACTCAGACTTTTATTTTTGAGACTCTGTTCAAATCGGGACAATCCCTTTAATCAACTCTCGATGGAATCGCTAGCCTGCGATGTTTATTGGATTAGGTTCTAATTTGCTGTTCGACTTAATTCAGAATTTAATCATGAAATGGATAATCGAGACTATGTTTTTTATCGTACTGATTTTAGTAATGATGATCGAGGCTAGGACGAAAATTCTATCGCTAAAATCTCAGTTCAGAGTGTATCAATTTAACGAACAATTTGCAGCAATTCCCGTTACATTATCTAGTTTTTAACTACTATAGGAAGAGCATCCAGCTCTTTATCTAATTTTCCATAATGTATCTTTGATATTTGAGCAGAAATATAAACCTGAAATTATTAAAGATACATGCGCATTAAAATCTGTTGATAAGTGGGGTTTGCAGCCATACCATATCATTTGTGTGATAACCTGATGTCTCAGAAACAACTGACCGGAAGTTGGCGAAATTTTGCCTATTGTGAGATATTATTAAAGGCTCAATACCACTCTTGTTGTAACTGAATAATATGCCCCAATCTTTATTCTGGTCAACAAATTGTACAATTTTACAATATTTCAATTAATTGATGATACAAATTTGATCTTAACACGCCTAATTTAAAAAATTAGAAAAATTCAACTAAATGATTTGAAAAGCCTGGCGTAAAGCTTTTCAAATGTGACTTGGATTTAAAAATATTTTTGAACCCTCTGGACAAGTAAAATAGGATTTAATGGATAATTTACACAACAGGTAGGACACTAACACATCTAGTACTTAGAATAAGGCTATTTTTTATTTTCTGGAGCTGTCAAGCCAGCAAGAGTGTTATTGTCCCTTTAATGTAATCATAATCTACGGGTTTCATTGAAATCGATTTATCATTACGGTATGTAGCCGTAACACATGAAATGTCCGGTAACCTGAAACTCGAAAGCCGCTGACCGGATGTGGCTACAATTGTGTCTTTTCTGAGATATTATTGGTGTTATATTCTGTAAATTTCATTTCAACCGGACAGCGGCGCTACAGCCTACTCTTATATCGAATTCCAACTGCCATAGGGTCTATTATGTGCACTCCAATGTGTACACGGGTACTCGGTTTTTCGTCCTATCCGAACGACTAGACAGATGTCCTTGTCAGGCCGCCCGTCCTGCACCACTGACAAGGGGAAACCACCGTGGAATATGTTATACTAGTACTCACTAAACTGAGTGAAATGAAATGAAATGGGGTTTAACGTCCTACTGTCCTGCGCCAACTGGGCCAATGAAGACTGAACATCAGCCATGTTTGGCCTGGTTATCTGAACAGTCCAAGAGGTCCGGGGCGTTGGTTTGTTTTTGAGTCGTTTCGGTCTATACTTGGATGTTAAGGAAGTTGTTTCGGCCTAGTAGAATATAACTTTTATTTTTACGCGATCCAAAACCACAGTGTTGTTTGTCCAACTGACTTTTGTCCCCGAGGGCTGTCGCTTTCTGATATTGATATAAACTACCTACAAATTTTATCCAGAACTGACACGTGATGGGAATTTGTTGGAAGGAGTCTATAGGGTACACAATAATAACTCGGTCCATATATGCAAAAGTCATCGCGGGTTGCATAGATATTCCTTTGTTTAAGACTTAGCCTTGACTTTAGACTGGTATGATCATCAAACTAATTGTATGTGTAACCTAATTTCTCATGAAGCCTTCAACAAAAGTAAAACGATTTTTATATAATATTATTACATAGGCAGGTCTTAAATCACAGACCATAATATGTCTGGCGCATTATCGCCCGGTTGATGCTGGCGTGCCATGAAACATCATTTCATTTCTTAAATCAAGGTTATGTAATGCAAAACCAGGGCACGTGAGAGAGGTGGGGAGTAGCAGCTGGGGTACTTGTACAGGGCCCCGAGGCCAAGAGGGACCCTGAAGTATGTTTTAAAAAAATTAATAATAAAAAAAATACACTGTTAGTTGGTCGTGAAGAAAAAAAAGAAGAATGGCGATTTTTCTGAATGTGTGTACTTAGTGGCCTGAGTAGGATAACCGAAGTCGAGGACTTTATCTTACTTATCTTATATACCGTCTATGTTTACATGTACGCAAAATGAGAATATCTCAGAATTCCCATAAGAAACACCTAAGATCATGTTTTCTTATGGAATAAAACCTACCCTGGAAGAATAACCTGTTACAGGTTTAAAGAAAACCTTTCAGAAGAATAACCCCAAATTCCGATGTATACCAAAGCCGCCCTAGCCGCATAGAATATACACCAAAGATCAAAGAGATTTACCGTTACAGGTTTATTAAGTTCTGAGAATGAAACAATGTCGAAATATGTGAAATTTACAAGAGAGGAATGGCTCGACGAAGAGAGCAATGGAATCCGTTTAAATTAAAAACTGAAGAAATGACGAGGAATGTAATAAGAGTCGGAGTATCTCTTGGAACAGACAGTAAACTGTTATACCAGTATATATACTCACCGAATACAGATTAATCTACAAACTACCAAGATGATGTTAAACTGTTATACCAGTACTCATTGAATACAGATTAATCTACAAACTACTGAGATGATTCTTTATTTACTTTGAGTATGAAACTCATCAGTATACATAATAACGATGTAACAAGGTCGTATTTTGGACCTCTGTCATTTGATGTTGGCTATGAATGTACTGGCCAGTGTCTTTATTATTGGAAGTTTTGAATTAGTGAGTTTATATTTTTGGTTTTGAGCTAATATAAATTAGTTTAAATGTTGTGGGTGGTGGATCTTCTATTGTACCAGTCTGGAATGAATTGTATTGTCCGGATTATGGTGTTTTATTTTAGTAGTTGATATGTTTTAGTTTTTTTTATATGGGTTTATTTTAATATTTTTGGTATAGTTGAAAGGCTAACTCGTTGGAATCTTTCAGTTCTGAAGGTGGTCTCTTTCTGAAAATGTTGTTTATCAGGTGATCTGTGAATCTTTGTCGTAGTTGGTTATTCGTAGGTGTAGCTGGGAAAAAACTAAAAATAAAAGCATATCGGCATGAATGTAAGCGAATTGCTGGCGTTAAATCTGAAATAAGTGTAACTACAAAAGAGGTGCCTGACTGCCTTAATCAATTAAGAAAAGCTTTACAGTTATTAGATGATGTAATAAATTGCAAACAAGACAATTAGGACATGATAGAGAGTATCATGTTTCGTCAGGAAGAGTTGATACGCCAGAGTTATTTATTCCACAAGAACAGTTGATTGATAAAGGTTTGTAATTTGTGAAAAATAAAAAAAAAATAAAAAATAAAATATCCCTGAAAAGAGGTTTGAAATATTGTTTTCACTGGGTCGGTTTCCCCATAATATTTTAATTTACCTTTTCAATCGATCATGATAAGGTACGATATTTGTGATTGCAACACATGCAGCAGAGCCTAACTTCCACTGTCAATAATATTAAAATCTAATGGATTATGGAAGTAAAGACATAAATTATTTGTTCTTATCACATTGACTCGGGGTTAAATAATGCAAAACTAGAAACAAAAGTTATATTAATTAAAATACACTAGAAACAAGTAAATATAAGTCGGGCCTAATATATCCCTCTCCAACAAGACTCAATAGTTAAAAAACCAGCGGCTGCCAGGCAGGATACGCCCACATTTTGCAAGAGATGGATAGTTAACAAGCTAAAAACAAAGATAGGTTGCCAGGCAACGAAACATACGCCAACAGCAGCTAATTCGTCCGGGCAGTCAACAAGTGTTGTCGCCTATTTTTACTTTTTTGGGAAATAAAACATATATAATACACTAAAATCTGATTAAGAGTAACAACTCATGAAGTAATTATCAATCCGAAGTCAGTCGGATGATAACTTTAGCCTCTAGAGCGTCACAAGATTTTTCAAAGTAATCAAGGGCCATAACTTTGGCAGTAATTATCGGAAATCGTTGAAAATCAATAGGATTCTTTGTCTCATGACCTCAAACATTGTGTATAAATTTAAAGTCAATCGGATAGTAACCCTGACCTCTAGAGCGTCCACAAGATTTTTTGAAGTGATCAAGGACCATAACTCTAGCAGTAATTATCGGAAATCGCTGAAAATCAATAGGCTTCTTCGTCTCATGACCTTAAACACTGTGTATAAATTTAAAGTCAATCGGATATTAACATTGGCCACAGTGATCAAGGGCCATAACTCTGGCAGTAATAATCAGAAATCGTTGAAAATCAATAGGCTTCTTCGTCTCATGACCTTAAACACTGTGTATAAATTTAAAGTCAATCGGATATTAACTTTGACCTCTAGAGCGTCCACAAGATTTTTTGAAGTGATCAAGGGTCATGACCTTAGACACTGTGTATAAATTTAGCCTCTAAAGCTGTGGACGCCGGACAGAATATACATGTACGACCACATTTTAAAAAAAAAACGATTTTTTGTACAACAAGGGGCCATAATCCAGAAAGTTATGGTCTGCAATACGCAAATATCAATTCAACCTTCATTATGGTGGAAAATCAGAAAAAAAATTGCGACCTCTAGAGAATCCACATGCTAAAAATGCGATTTTTTGACCAATCTGGGGCCATAATCCATGAAGTTACGTTCGGATATGTGTGATTATCAAAAGGAACCAAGATCTTTACGATAAAAATATATACATATTTAAAGTTTTATCCAAAACGGACAAGAGGTGATTTTTGTCCAGCAGTTTTGGTCCGATTTTCACAAAATTCGAACTCAACCATCATAGGGGTGGTGTAACGGTGATATACTAAAGCGTTTTTTTTAAATCGGATAAAAATTGTGACCTCAAGAAGGAACACAAGCTGAAAACGCGATTTTTCGTACAATCACGGGCCATAATTCAGGAAGTTACGATCCGAATATCAAAAGGAATCAAGATCTTTGGGTTATAAACATGCATTTCAAGTGTCATCAAAATCGGGTCAAAATTGTGACCTCTAGAGTGTCCACAAGCTAAAAATGTGATTTTTTGTACAATGAGGGGCCATAATCCACGAAGTTATGGTCCGATACATGCCAATATTGAAAGGAACCGATATCTGTGGGAGGTAGACCTATTTTTCAAGTTTTGTCAAAATCGGATAAAAATTGTTACCTGTAGAGTGTTCACAAACAAATTGTGGACGGACAGGGGCGATGACAATATACGTCCACATGAAAATGTGGGCGTATAAAAACCTATATTATTGACGGTTGGATGGTATCATGTTAATAATAGTAATTGGATTTTAATCATTAGCAATTTATACTTTTGCAAAGCGGAATTTTTTAAAACAAGTATTCGGTAGTTAATATAATCTGAGCGACATGGAAAACGCATCACTTAGTTTTTCGTATAACAAAATGATCCTGTAAACATATCTTATTTATTTTGCTTCTTATTGTGAACAATATTCAAATGGGAACACATCAATAACAACAGATTTGTACACTTATGAATGTTTAATCTGTAATCAACGGTACAAAGTCAGAGGGGTCAAAACCCAAAGTACGACACAGATGTCAGTAGCGTGTGTGTCCTCCACGGGCTCTTACGCACGCTGTGCAGCGACGTCGCATGGAATTTACCAATGTTTGAAAGAAGGCCTGGGGCAAATTGTTCCATTCTTGGACAAGAGCAGCTTCTAAAGCAGCAATGGGGTGCATCTGTGGTCTCCGATACAGACGGCCGTCCAATCTAATCCCAGACATGTTCTATCGGTGCCATGTCCAGAGACATGGCTGGCCAGTCCAAGACATTGATGTTGTTAGCAGCCAGGTAGTCCATTACACTTCCCCCACCCCATCGATTCGTTTCGTAGACGCAGCAGTCTGCAAGACGTTCCCCAAGACGTCTCCACACACGTTGACGGCCATCAGGGTGATAATGATGAAAGCGACGCTCATCACTGAAGAGCACACTTTGCCAGTCTACTCTTCTCCATGTCTGGTGTCCTTGAGCCCATATCAAATGCCGCTGACGGTGCTGATCCCTGAGGATAGCTCCAACATAAGGTCGTCGTGCACGGAGTCCTACTTCTCTTAGACGACGTATTACGGTGTTGGCACTTACTGGTCCTTGTTTTCCGAAGACAGCTGCACCCGTTTGAGTCGCTGGGCGGAATCTGTCACGCAGATGAGTGACCAGGATGTAGCGGTCTTGAGCCTGGGTTGTAACGCGTTGTGAACCAGGACGTTGACGGTCACGTGTTGATCCAGTAACTCGAACACGTTCCACCAACCTTACAATAGTGGACTGATGACAATTGAAGTGTCTGGCAATAGCACGTGTAGACATGCCAGCCCTGGACATTCCCATGGCTTCATTCCGTTGATTTTCAGTAAGTCTCGCCATCTCTAGCTCGATTCCTTCACCAACAACAAATTACGACAGATTGACATTTCACAGTTCATGTACTGCACATTAAGTTGAAAAGATGCTTTTAAAGGGCTCACACACAATGCTGCACGTGAATATTGAGTTTTTCATGTGCATCTCGTGCAATTTTTTTTTGTGCACACGGGCCGATATTTTTTGCGTTTGGGAGCATTGTGTGAAACAATAGTTCATAGTATTGCATAATATTATACATACAAAACCACCTAGTAATAAAATATTTGGGAAAAAAAAGTGATGCGTTTTCCATGGCGCTCAGTACTGTATATATAGGCCTAATATGTTTTATGTGGTCTTCAATAAAAATAAAGATGTGACCTCATCTTTTGACGTTGGCGTACTAGTATTTCAAATAAAGTACACTCTATGGTTCCTACAATTAATCAATAACCGACAAGAAACATTACGTTAAAGGAGCTAAATCGCTAATATTTGGGATCTTGAAATTGACACAAATGGGTCGCAGCGCATATAATAATGTAATATGAATTTATATAAACTGATTTACACTCAATCGTTCACTTTTACTCTAATTTCAAACCAGTTTGTTGGGCGAAATTGGCCAGAAGTCTCAATCAATGACAATCTCTAGAGTCTGGTTATTCCAGTCTACACCGTTAGTATTTATTTCACATGCTATACAGATAAGAATATGGCATCACCCTTTGACACGACTAGTGGAATATGTCTAGCCTTGTTCATCGAGTCCCTTGTTACAAATGGGTGCTGAAAAGCATTTTTTTCGTGTACCAATGGTAAAATATTTATTTTGTCTTAAATATTGGATATCAGAAGCCCACCTTTCCCCGGTAAGATCACAACACCAATGTTGATTAATTAAATTGACAAATAATTCATGTTTTCAATGTCGAAGACTCTGTATGATATCGAGTTGGAGACTTAGCTACTTTAAATATTGTTTTATATAATTAATTAATCAGTCAAATTCCGGTAGGCCTACAGCCCAGTTGAAGCTTACGGATCCATTCACTTGATTTGATATATATGTTTGTTGCTTATTGTTTGAAATATATGTGTAGCCGATATTGTGTGTCGTGTCCACGGGCTTGTATTGTGTAATTGTTTATGTCTGATTTGGTCCTCCTGCGAGTTCTATCACTCGGCTAACCAAAGAACTCTGAATGCATTAGCCGCTTATATCAACATAGATTTATGACGTTGTGTGCCCGTAATGCCTATCGGGGAGGATTAATTTTAGACCAGACGATAAAAACAGATGAGTGATGACGTCAACTTCGGCTGAACTCGGAAACACGCCCCTTTCCTTATATGGTCAGTTAGATTAGTGAAATTGAGATATTAGAAAATGCAATGGAGAAAATCTGGTAGTTGAAAATGCAGAGATGAAAAATTTACAGTGAATCTGCAATGGTGAAAAGTAGAGGGGAAAAAACATATAATTTTTACATTGTTAATTTTTGTCAAGCAATTATTGTTTTGATACTAAAAGTGATTTTTATGATGTTAAATAACCATTAAAATGTATTAAAGATGGGTTCCTGCGTACAAATCTGGTGATTTAATGGTATATATGGACCAAAAACATATTCAAACTAATTAATTTGTCATAATTATGCTTCAAATCCTTCTCAAACATTGTAATTGCGAAGGATTAATGCCCTGCTATTAAAATTCGATCAAACCAGGTCATGTTTAAGTCACGTCTTGGGAGTCAGAGGAGAATTCATTGCATACATAAGACGATATTGTCTTTAATCGCTTACTATTTATTACAAATATCGAATCCTAATTAAATTCTCGGATTATCTACTACCCGCGTCTTTTTACGTCATTTTTATCTCAGAAAGTATTGTACGTCTAACTCTTCATAAAGTTTATCAACTTGTACATCAAGCGCTCAATGTTCGCTTGTGACCTTTGACATCACGCGTGCATAAGTTCTTAATCGTCGGGCTGTTGATTAGGGGAACCCTTACATTTTTGTCCTGTATACGCTCTATGATTGTTTTTCGGGGAATCCAGTATTTTTCTAGTAAGATTGGATATCTCTACTTTCAATATATACCAAAATTGCCATACTTTTATTGGAAATAACCACCCGATAAATACTTTTCTGGAAACCCATCTTTAAGTGTCATGTGATATTTACAAGTGAAAAGTCTCGAAAATCACCATTTTTACCATTTTGTTGACTATGATAATTTTGCAATTTTAACCATATTATTTTCTCCTAATATGGCAACGATTCGGCTCCATATAAGTAGGGTGGCTCCAGACAAAGTGTTTTAATCCATAGTCAATTCATCCAAGAAAAGTAAAATGAGTGTATTATTAGATTTCGGGCACTTTATCTGGCCAACCAGATGATATCTTATTTTTTTTTCTAACTTTACCTGTCTGCCCGAAAAGTCAGATTGCACGCCAGTCAGCTAGGCCCGTACTGCTGCATTAACTGAGATCTCGCACACCACTGTAACTCCTCGCACGGCAGCTCTTTACCAGCTTTTCTCCGGAAAATTCCGACAAAAAACGGAAATTCCCGACTATGCAATAATAATCCAATCAGTGCGAAGTATTTCTCAACTAGTCTGAGCCTAACTAAAACATGGCGTCGGAAGAATGGCTGTTGCAGATCGATTCGGATAAATACTACATTTAGGTAAATTAAACTCCACACTGGGTAATATTTCTATAATTTTACAGGCAACCACAACCTTACAACCCTTTTGATGCTATTTAGGGAATCTTAGTGTGTTATTTATTTGTATTTAATGTCGGATAGGGACGAATGTTGCCAGGATGAGGGTCGTACAAAATGACTGGTTGACTCAATAACAATATTTCTACAACGGCGAACGGTTCTGTTCTTGGTAAACGACGAAGATGTGCAACGAAGTAACATTAATGTTAAAACGTAGTTGGTTTATTGTGTTTTTAAAAAAAAAAAAATTAAGTTAGATATTCTGATTTAGGCACGCAAAATAATCTTTATGGAAAGAAATGATTCTGCTCATTGCATGGTTGGGGCAATTTGGATATTTCTTTTTAAAATAGGTCAGCAGATGGACAGTTAAAACATAACTATAAGATACCCATTTTAGATAGACCTATAGATTATGCTGGGTCCTTATTGATCTATATGTACTTATTGATGAAATAAATGAATTTATATAATTATTTTTTAATGTACATGTATGTATGCAACCATAAATTTTGACCACAAATGTAATTCTAACAGCAGTAAATGAGCTAAGTAAAGAATACATTATTAATTTATTGTTCAGAATTAAAACACCTGTGTCAAGTTTAAGTTATTTATATATGACATATATAAGAGCTTATAATATATGTAATAATACATGAGGTGCAATATCGTAACTTATTATATGCATTATTACCTTTTCGTTACTCTAAAGTTAGTAAAGTAGGCCACATCAAAATTTCTATACCCAGTTATACCCAGAGGCTTTGATAAATAAGCTTACAGCTGTTTTCCGGAAACTAAGAATCACATGAAACTGCAGTTTGTGTTCAATCAAATAACTTCAAAGCTTTGCAAAGCATATAATTCAATATTTAAAAAAACCTGCACAGCTACATGTACATGTACATGGCACTTGTCATATTTTGAAGTACATTGTAGGCTGAACATGTACCATGCAATAATTTCAAGAAAGATTTATTAATCATCTTGGCCTCACCATCGGTTTCCTATCATTGAAACACCAAGCTTGTGTATTAATACTATTAAAATATGATTGTGGCGTTTTTAAGAATCTGGATCATCCAGTATGATAGGTTTCGTAATTGACCGATATCGATGGTAGTTAACAGTAACACACAGAGGAGTAGACCAAATGAACAGATAGTTTACAATGTATATTTTTATTACGACTTTATAACTGCTAAAGGTAACTTATATTGTAGTACTACATGTAGGTTACTTTTTTGTATGTCAATTGATTTCAGTTTATGTGGTATGAATTTACGTCTTGAGCTGTTTTTAGTGTTGGCCACCCACACATTGGTTACGATAGCACACAATTGTCTATTAATTAAGAATTAGACTATAGAGTATTTGATTTTCATGATTCCAAGTTCACTTTCAGTCATGGATGTTGGTTTAAAAAAAAATAACAATCTTAATTCTTTAGATAAAATAAGGCACATTTTAAAAGCTTCCAAACCGATCGAGGAATGTGTTAAATGTTTACTAACAGGAGAAAGTGCATGCTTTGCTTTTAGTGACTAGGCTAATTGTTAAATTTAGATAAATATTCTACAATTATCTTGATAGCAGTGAATGTTTCAACTGTATACCGACATTAAAAGTCTTTTTTCTTTGTATTTTTCAGAGAATTGATTTCTGTTGAGCTTCTGAATACAATTTGATGTTCACTTGATTACTTCTTGTAACAGATAGTCTGAGATACTAAATTCATAAGTCGTATTATTTAAAAAGACTGATAATACCAGATCGAAGAATGGTGATGAAATATTTTATATTTCAATAAATCTTTGATAACAGGTAATTAAATTAGTGAGGGATTTCATAATAATAACCTAGGGGATTTGAACAAATAAACTCTTTGTGTAACACATGATACTGTAGACTAAAATAGTCCATTACCGGTACTTTAACTTATCGCTATAACTTATGGTTTACTCTGGCCAATAATCTTCTGGTGTATGAGTATGATGTTTGACCTTGTGGTGGGAAACCCAGATCTACCGAATTTCAAAGAGCCTGGAGATTTTCAAGTCCAGTTCTCAGTTTTCGAGTGTTGCCTTTATATGGGAAGGAAAGTTGAGGACCTCCTGTTTGCAAATTGACAACAGACAGTTGGAATTAGATGAAGAGTTGGTGGAATGGCATGTTAGTCTCAAAACATTACATTTCAATTCATTCCAAGATACAACAATTTTGCCAAAATTTGTAGAAGCTCTAAATGGGCTAGTCATTGTAAAGAAAAATATTGTTTGTCCTAGTTGTCTACTGCTGCAGGTTTCATGTCTTTCATATTGGACATTGGTTTTGGTGTTTTACACATGGATGTTGGCGTTGCTCGAGATAGTCGGAAATGTCATCTACTGTACCATGTTCCCTTGTTCCAAATTTTCTGAGGCAGGCCCAGTAAGATCCCCCGTCAAGGCTTTTCTCATCTTCGGACCTGCAAATTCTCAGGTGCTACAACAACACTTCAATGTGGAGATCTGAAATTTTATCTCATGACTTCAGATGTTAAAATTAATTAGCCTACTGGATAGATAAAGCTGTGACTAATTGATACATGTCTGTTACCTCACTAGATCGACGATATCTAACTTGATTGAAGCAAACCATAAAGTACTAAAGAAAGTTCAAACCTTAGAGTGTTAAGTGAATTGCCCTGAAGTTGGCCTCACCACCGGATGATTAGCCAGTCCTTAATCATAATGGGAAAAAATGTCTCCTACTTACTGAATTAACCCTTCTATCTGCATAATGTTTGAGGGTAGATTCAAATTCGAGAAAAATTATCGAGGGACACCCTTTTGCTTTAGAGTTAGAGGATGAATAACATTTGTAAAATCTTGAGTGTTTCTTTAATATTGTGTTTTCAGAGAAAGGATCTTGACACCCAATTGTTATACTTAGGTATCAATGCCATAATGAAGTCGGTAGTCCAAATTCAAACCAGTAAACCTACTTCCCCTAAACCTGGAAAAGGGGTGGATGGAGGTAAGCTTCATACTACTCTCAAAACTGAGAATTTTTACCTCCTCTTTCCGGTTGCGATACTTTCAACAACAATTTTAACTGCCATAAACTGGATTTAAATACATAATTTATTTCCCCAATTGATTTGTATATACATGTAAGTCTGTATTTAGAGATCATTTATATACAATGAGATTAAATGGCCAATGTTTGATTCCTTTATGTCTTGTGTTTTAAAATTAACTGGCAATGATGAAAATGGCAATGTCTGTATTGACAAAAAATAAGTTTTCAACATAATGTAAAAACCATATATTTTTGAGATCAGTCTAGCATTTTTGAAAACTATTTTGAATTATTGTAGAAATGAATTATTCAAGATGTCCTCGTGCAATGATTTTTGTAAAATCAAAATTGTAGAATTGGTTAAAGTATATTGTTGGAAACTTATTTGTATTTTATAAAGATACGGCTTGTATTGTTTGTTATATGTTATATATAAATCATGTTAATGGATTTGTAACAAGTTTGCTAGTTTGTTCTGTTAATTTTATTCTTTACATTTTCGGCTGCACGTTCTGCTCTACAGTTCGCACTGATTATTGTTTTTACAGGATACTAGATCAATCATTCCTATCTTTACTTAAAACCCTCTCCATAAATTCATTTGTTTATTTAAGTAATACAGTACATCTATATTAAAATGCATTACCTTGGATTGAGCCAATGTTATACATTTTCACTGGAAATATATAATAACTTAATATTTTTGATAGATTTTGTTTGCATTTGTGACACACAAAGTTGTAAGATATACACGTACATGTACTTAGGATTAAAAATTATTTGTTTATATTGATTACTGTATTACTTGCCAAATGAACAAATTAATTTTACTATTCTCCATTATTACTGATCCTGTTTATTTAATCTTGAATTCCAAGAAACACAAGTTGAAAGTCATATTCTTTTAAAAGCACCTAATTAAAATAATGAAACAAAGTGGATTTTATAATTTTGATTACAAAATCTTACAGAATATAAAGCAATTAACACAATATACATGTACATGACATTAATTTAAAGATAATATCTTGAAGTGAATTGAAGTATGTATAACAGTAAGTGGCAATTATAGACAATTATTTGAAATAATGAGTTATACCTGTAAATAATTAAATACTTATAATCAATGACATCAAATATACCCATCTTTAGATTTAGGCTGTTAAACTGTAAGTAATTTTCAATATTAGATTAATGGCTGTTTGTCATGTATTTTATCGTTTTGATTTTGAAAGCTAATTACGGATTTGAAGTGATAACTGATTTACTGCAATAAAGGTATAACATGTGATTCTTGTATATTAAAGGTATTGAATTGGATTCACTCATACCTCAGGTAAAGTATTGTTGTTTTGTACGGTGCAATGTGTGTGCCCTGAATATATTAGCAGTGCATTTAATAAGGTCCCGGTAATTATATATGTCTTAAAAAAGCAAAAAATGAATCAGATGCCCGTTCCAGAAAGTTTCGTAAGTTTTGGGGCAGTTCTGTTTAAAGGTACATGTATACTCATTAAATGCTTTCATTTTTACCTTCTTTGGGTAATATTTAGCATACATCTTGTAATTAATTCATTCTTTTACTTATTAACAAATATAAATAATTAGAACTACTCCTAACCCAGATAAAGTAGAAAATATAAGTTGAACAGGTATGAGTAATATGTAGTAATATTGAAGGAGTAATGGTTAAATCGGTAATACTATGTAATATTTTTTTCCAAATTATTAAACTGTTAGGTTTTATTGACAGAAAGTTCACTATCAGTCACAGATATCAAACTTTCATTTGATTATATCAACATTACTGATTTTTTGGTTAAGATAAAATAGGATTTTCATCTATTCAATTATGAATTATCATCTTTTCAAGTCTTTCTGTAGATTTTCACATCAGTTAATAATAGGAATACATTATATGTAGTTGTATAGTTCTGCTTGCATGGGAATTGGGAGAATGGATGCATGTTGTGTTTATTGATAAAACATCAAGCAAACTTGTTACTGTACATTAAAACTTCATAGATACTCTTTTTATTCTCTTTGCATTAAAACTGTTCATGTATTTACTTGTATACCATACATACATGAATATTTGTTATGAAATTATTAAAATAATTGTTTATATTTTAAAATATTTAGACAAGTTTATATAATAGGTCAAACATCTTTTTGGTACATTCTATAGTAATGAGGATTGAATGAGTATCTATAGAATTTATTGACAATTTTAAAATATACCATTTGACCAACTAAAAATTTAATGTACATATCTAACTTCTAAATAAAATATGAAGTTGTGTGTTGAAGCATAAGGTATGTTTTGAAATTGTCCCTATGATTCCCTTAAATTCATGTTTTTGTTTTCTTTCAGTGTTTTTATTTAGTACTTATTTTCAATTCATTCATTGCATCATTGCCAGTTAGTTTTGATCATAAAATGCTTTAAAAAGGGAAAATGTATTCAAAATATTTTCCATTATGTGTTCAAGAAAGTGTTGAGGTGCTGATCAGTGTTGCATTTGCTGCAGAACATTTCAAACCAAAAGCATTTAAACATGGTTTATGAAAATACCCTGTATTGTATATTACATAAATATCATTAAATCTTTCATGAGATGTAAGAATTTGGAAATTAGAATATGGAAATATATCTGATCATATTTAGATTTATTTGATCAGTGTATTTTGAGATACTATCAGTGATTTTTGTTAAAATATTGAAAGTAACCATTTTAATGTTTAAAAATTTTCATTGAGTAATGTCAAACTCTGAAAAATGATATTTAAGGAATATCAAAGGTAATTTCACTGTTGAATCATGTTTACTGCTAAAATGTCGGTGATCGCTACATAATATATATCTCATTGCCTGTTCAATGAGGTTGAAATTTTCTGCAGTGTGTCATATTCTGTCTTTCTCGTGCAGAGAGAATTAAAACTAAAAACTAAAAAGGTATGAAAATAGCATTTCTAACATACAGATAAAGTTGGTATTGTTTCACTCGGCTCATATTGTTTGCTTCTATTATTTCCCTCATACAGCAGGTTGGACAGTTGTAGCTGCAGTGAAACCCTCTAACTATCAGGTTTATGGACTTGTATTGTTTATATTGTTAATGTTGGAGAGAGAAAAACATTTTAACCCTTTCCTACCTATTTTGTAAAGCTCTTGCCACTAACTTGCATCATTTTGGCCATGCAGATTGTTTTAGCTCTAGTTTCGCTGCACAGCTTCACAGCTAGTCCCAAATATTAATTACATTATTTATTATATCTAGACAAAAGCCTATACGTGCAAGTAGCTATTGAGGAATGTTTTCTTATGGGTGTTGTCTTTAACCATAATTTCAGTTGATGTAAAAGTCAAAAGAATTGATCGTTCTGTATAGTCTATCTCTCTCTTCTTTCTTTAATAAATACAATATAGAACTTAGTTCATAAGAAAAAATCTGGATTAAAAAAAATTCTCTAAAGCGGTTTGTGGCATTCGTAAAACAATGAATTTTGTTAGATACATCCCCCTTTATTTTTACTGCTTCTCACATAGCATTTAACATCTTTTCACACCGAAGTGGGATTTTATGTATTTGCTTTTTTGTTTAATTGTTTTAAAAATCATCTGTTAGAAATTAGTCTGTTGTTTACTAATGGCATTCCTCTGCATGAAATTAGCCCTCTATCCTATACCAGTTATTAATCTATTTCTTATTAGGAATATTTTGATATTAACTTGTTTGTATGTTTGTAATATCTATGAATGATATACAGTTATTATATAATCCTAGTTATTTATCAATAATTTATCATTATATTCGAGATATATTATAAATCACATTTTGATAGAAATATATAAAATTTATTAACTGAAAATGGTGTCTGTTGGCTTAAAAACTAATGACATGTATATTTACATGTACATTACCTATTGGTTATTTTACATGTCATGTTTATGGTTGGTGTGTTTGCATTCATCATCAGTCAATATCATATAGAAATAGAAAGTAGCAGCACCTATTTCATGAAAGCTTGATATTATAAAATTTACTTTGGGGTTGGATGTTTGAAAGAAAACACCTAACAGTTTTCAACGAGTTTGACAAAAGTTGTTAGTTGGATGAGCTTCTCACAGACACATATTTCCTCCTCCACAACACAGTTATAATTTTGACTGATGGGCTACTAGTAGTACTACTGCAATTGCCCAATTTTAGCCAGATAGGCTACTAGTAGTACCACCGCAATTGCCATATTTTAGTCTGAACCAGAATGCTTCTATGATTATATTACGGTCAGACTGTCAGTAAGCTTACCTATGCAATAGAAAACCTTGCACAACTCTGTTTTAGTATCAGATATATCTATACAAACAGATGAAATATAATAAAACCTGTAAGGTTTCTTTCATCCCCTAATATAAGTAAACAAATTCAACATATATCTTGCCAATATCTTACAGTTCATATAAAATATATATAAATTATCATCTAATATAATAAACTGGTAGTTAGCATGCTGTAATTTTTTTATATTTTTTGGCCTCAGTAATTTCCTTATCATATTAATGTTTATATACATTGATGTATTTTGTTATGATGATAGTAGGTGCAGTGCAGTTGTAAGTTGATATAATGGGGTTCAAATGTTTGGTGGCACCCTCTTGTTTCAAGAGTGACTTTAAAACAATAATATATACATACCGTACATAAATATGCTTTAAAATGTACCGATCAAGCTTAATAGGAAGGACTATGCTATCAGGTTTCTTTTGCTAGCTCGATTCATGTTTTTATTTTCTGAGCTGTTGTTGTGTTTAGTTTAAGATTTTTTCAGGGCATTTGACAAAATATAGACTATTGGTAATGGTTTTGAAATTATTTGTTATTATAGTAGTCAGATTGGTTGTGGATTAATCTTTCCTTTCTTAGTTTAAATTATCCTTACTTACCCTCTTTCCATCAACTTCATGTATAACCTACATGTATTTTGAGAAGTTAGGACACTACCCTTCCTAATTTCCGGATATTATTAACACAATGCCATATGCTTGTTGACACCTGTTTAGAGTGTTCTGATACTTGAAAATCTGGACTGAATTGTGATTGAGACACGTACCTTCTTAATGTTGTTTTCATTTAAAGGTTGTTCAGGTTTGCCAGTACTATTAAATTTCTTCTATTTTTTCAAAAATATAAAATAAACAAGGTAACCTCAGTTTAAAGTCATATTTAGCCATTCACATTTCATATTTTCATCTGGCAATACTGTAGTCTTTGGTTGAATTTGAATATGCAAATTTGATGGCTTTATAAAAATCAATTCTCAAAGTGAGTCATTGACATAAGTAGATTAAGTAATAGTACAAAATCATTTTATTAATAATTAGCTACATTTTTACAGAAACAGCTGTTGGCGTCTATTTAATATTATCACAATAATATCAGTTTTACATGCATGCTATAATTTAATGTGAAATAATGTTTCAATTTAAACTATTTAGGCTATCTTTTCATGCATTTTTTGTATTTCATAATTTAATTGTTATACTGTGTCTATATTATGAACTGAAAGTGTCATAACCAGATAGCAGCCCAACTGCCAAATTTGAGCTTTTATAAATTATATTGGTTATCAAGATATTTCCATGTGAAAATTTATTTTTAAAAAAAATCAGGTTTACAGAGAGTTGTCTAAAACAGTGAACATCTCATGACCATATTTGTAGCTCCTCTCAAGAAGCATTACTACATAACTGATTATAAAATGCTAAAGTAAAATACCCAAAAAGTCTGCTTGCTTAATTAACATTGAAATTACTAGTTATCTAAATCATGATGCAGCTTCTCAATATTTGACAATGGTACAAAATGATATTATTCTTTCAATTGTCTATAAATTCTTTGCCATGGGAAACAGAATTTCTTATCAACTTGTAGCCCTTTAAAGATGCATTATATAAGAGCTAAATCTGCCTCTTTCTTTTGGCTTCAAATTATTATTTAGACATTTATTCACATGACAAGCCTAATCAATTCGCTGGGCTATCAGATGGCTGAGATATTAAATGCATTTGAACACTCGCGAGATTTAAAAATACATGTATAACAATAAAATGGATAATTGAGACAGTATCGGTTGACAAGTACCATTACTACGATTATAAACGATCTATGCTATGTCTTCAAACAGTTATAACTACACCCAGAAAAAAGTAATTTGAACGAAATTTTCAATATTTTCATTATTTTTTTTATTATCTATTTTTTAATATATCAAGAACGGACAGCTCTTTATCTAAATCTTACATAATGCATCTTTAACTGAAAGTTTAAGTAGAAAGGAAGGTAAATAAAAATTTAGAGTTGATTGTCAAAAAGAACCCTTTGTCTCATTTGTATTCAATTTTTTGGATAGAAGATCACATGGAATAGAATTGCACCATTTGAACATAACACAAAGCAAACAACTTGTGGAGAAATAGGGCGAGGATCTCTTTATTTTTAAAACATAATTTATAATGTACATGTAATTGTCTTGTTTGTAGAAACAGGAACTTGATCATTTTTTAAAAACAAACACCCATATTTAATTTCCCTGAGTTTTAAACTGTTCCTGTTCTAACAATACATTATGATATGCATTATAATCGTTATAATTGTTTCTTAATGTAATAATTAAGATGATATATTTTTGCATGTACATGTATTTTATACAAGGATACTAGCATAGATATATAATTTTCCTTGTTAATTAACATAACTACTCACCAACATCACAATATTATTATTAATATTTCAAATCTAATCAATCCATAGTGGTTTTCACATATTGCATGCCAGTTGAGTGCATCCTATTCCTATAAAGCAAAACAATAACTTTTAGTTTGTTTTATTATGTTATTGTCATTTTCCTTTCTTTTATTGTAAATATACAGTGGTAAAGTATTGGCATGAACATTGCTATTTTGTATTTTAAAAGCAGTTATATTTGTACATTAAGTAAGATAATATTTCTTTAAAAAATATCCTTTGATATATATTACTGTCGGTTCTTCATATTTTATGTAATGTAAAATTCTATGTATGTCCTTCAATGGCTTTATTAACAATATATTTGTAGGGTTGATCTGTGTGGGTTCAAAGTTCATCAATTTTACATTAAGTTGGAGTTTAAATAATGTCGATACTAAACTAATAGATAGATTTTGTATTTGAAAATATTTTTCCAAAAAGTAATTGTTGTTTTATCACATATTTGTATCTGCTTATTTAAGTGGATTCACTAGCAACTAATAAATTACTAATGACCAAAATTTAGTTAGGTATTAGCTTAGAAACCGATGTATTCCATCACTAGTAACTCTGCAATCACAATCACATTTTATACATTTTTGTGTTGGTCTCATTTTAACACTAATTTAGTGTTTGTCTTATTTTTATTTTTACTTATGATTTCAAATCTTACTCTACAATTTGTCATATTACAGAGACATGTTATTTAAGAGGGATGTGAGTTAATTTCAATCTTTATGTAGACAATTTCAGATTTCATCTTTAAAGCGGTCAAACTTTTACATATGATGTTGATATTAAATATGACCAGACAGCTTTGTTTTTAGGCTGTTGTATGTATATCTGTGTGTGATGAAATTGTCTTGTTTCATAATCGATCTTGTTAATACTACATATAGATGCATGGTAGATGGTTTTTTTTTGTGTTTTTTATTTGTGTTTCATTGCACTTCAATAATTTGAGAAAACATTAATTGTACCGATTTTTGAAATATTTTGATTTTTTATTACTCGTAAATATATAATTAATATATCTTTCGCATATAATGTTTGCCTTGAAATGTAAACCCATTTACTTATCTGTAATAACAAAAATTCCCAATTTCATGCAAATAGATATTTAACAACAAAATTTTAAAAGAATATATATCTAATTTTTTTTTTTTTTGCTTCTCTCATCTCTTCTGTTTAAAGTTAAAAGAAATTTCTAATTAAGGTATAAAGCCAGTTTTAATAATTTCGATGACTAATTTTTATTTAGGAAACACTTGTCACAATGTTTTTCATTTCCTTGTCTTGTTTTTCTTAACGTTTTCAAATATATTTTACCTCTTTAATTATTATATGTTTTTCAATTTAGTTCTTTTTTAAAGTTTGCCATATCTGTATATGAGCTCTTAAAGTTAAAGTTAAGAAGTTTCAAATAAGACATAATTACAAATCACTTTGCTCTTCTGAACTCTACCGATTCCTTTTTATAAATTAATCAAATATAAGAAAAAAGCTTAAAAACTGGCATGTTGGGGATAGAATATTGGAAAAACATGAGCTTTTAGTTGGGTAGAATGGTAACATACCCGGTAGTGGTAATGGTATAAACTCCCTTTAGATAAATAATCCTATGAACAATTACTTGACAAGGAATTTCATAATTCACTCTTGGCTATTTTAATTTGTAAGTATGCACATAGAATGACATTCTTTGAAATGAAATTCTGATAAGTAAACTGGTCCATGTTAAAAATCCATATTTGTTTTAATAAGTAAATGTTATTCACTTTTTTATAAGGGTCAATGAATTACCAGTTTCAAGATGAATTGTCTAATTCCTTGTGAAATCAGTAGGTAGTGTTGTCTTGAGTGTCATATAGTGTATTGTAGAATGTACTTTGGTATATATTTCTGACATGAACTACTACCAACAAAAGGTATATACACCCTGTCTGACATATCAACTATTATTATTCTGTGTAATCTTTGTTTGTTTTATTATTTGAATTATTAACATCTACATTGTTATGGGGTTTATTTTTTTGTTCATTAACATCAAGATTCGTTCATGTATAAAATGTTTACTATCACTCAGTTCTAGTCTATCAGAATATTTTACATCTATTTCTAATTTCAGGTCATAATTCACAAGCCTCCGGTGACTCCATTGATCAAGTAGGGAAAGGAGATTTTAATAAAAAGGTAAAAAATGTCTAATATTTGCATTCCCCGTACAGTATTGGAACATTATTTCTAAGATTTATTTTTGATACATTTATTTTGATACGTTCTAAAAAAATTATTTTAATAAAAATACTGGTGCACATGTAGGTCGAACCTTGCAGTGCATATGTAGCCATAGAAATTAAGAATAATATATGTCTGTCTCACAAGGCCCGAAATATTGTGTTGAGAAGACATTAAACCCCATTGATGGCTTAGTTGCTATGGGCGTATGGTTCGTTGTCTGACAGTCCGTCTTTGAAGATTTTTAAAACTAGTTGTACATCTAGTTGATGTGCTTTCCATAGCTCTTCTTGTCATCAAACCTTTGTCACACAGGTCAGCATTATTTGAAACTTGCTGTGTGATTGTTCATTTAACTAAGGAAAAAGCCTATTATGTCTATTTTCACCGTATACTGCCATTGAAAGGATAATTAACTGCTCTATTTCATTAATTTACTTTTACCAATTGACATTTTAAGGAAAACATATCCACCCTGCTCACTTGCTCATAACAAAGTTTAGTTGTCCCAATGTTATATTCAAAAATTTCCATGCAGGACGATTATCTGAAATTATTTTGTCCTTTTTTGAGGGGTCACATATTGAATAGTCCTTAAGGATAATCAGTTCTATTCATTTGACTCTTAAAATTTCGTTTTACTTGTCTTTACTACACTAGGATCTGGAAGAGTTGTTATATAACCCTCGTTGTGAAGGATTGGCCAATGAAACGGTCGGTTACAGCGAGTTTTTGACGTGAGGTGCACGGAACTGTGGGTAACCCACTAGAAGCATCAACGCTGAGTGGTTAATCAAATGTCTGATGTCATTGGGCCAAAAGCCGCTTGTATGATATCTGATGCGACCTTCCACTACAACCGGTCAGATCTTTATGTAGTGTAGGCAGTCGGAAGTATAAAAAAAAAGAACCGAAATATAGATCTGTTTTTTAATCAGATTATAACAATAACAGCTATAAATTCTGCCTGTCCAGTTGGGCAACTGACATCAAAATCACTTGCCTTGATTTTGGTTGTCCTGGCAATCAGGCAATCTTTATCGTCGAGCCCTTGTTTCTGTAATCCAGATTCAGGGAAAATTATAGATGCTGCTGGAACAGGGCACATATATTGATTCTACTTTCAATGTTTTTTGTGTATAACATGGGGAGAAAAAAATCATTTTGCAGAATATTGAATTGAGAAATGTGCATACATGTAAATAACCAACATTGCCCAAGAGGGTAATCATAGCTACTACCCTTTCTCGTTTTGTCTTGCAAAATTATTTAATTAATCTTTCAGGTTAAGTTTGTCGAGTTCATTTGTAAATTGACTTTCTGTTTTTACAATGTTGATGGAATGCCGAACATTTTGATAGATGTTTTTTTGTCCATGTGAACTCTACTACATGTATATGATCGATCGGTGTGTAGCAAATAATAAAATGTTTTAACTTTTAAAGGAAGTGGTAAATATTAGCAACAATGCAGGTGATATTCCGCTACCACCACAACCACCAACAACAAATCTTACCAACTTACCAGATGCTGAATCAATCCCTTTGCCACCACCAACAGATACAGATTCCATCCCACTACCCCCAAGTGATGACACCAAGAAGGAAGGGCAAAGTAAAGAAAATACCACCCTATCAAAGGTATAAATTTTAAAAGGTTAATTGGTCATTAAAAACCCAACTATAATCGGTTAACCGATTTATTCACATTTATTCTTTCTTGACATTTCATTTCTCCATCTTGTGTAGTCTGAAAGCTCAGTGCCGGGGTGGGGGTAGTAAATATGCAGTCATTCTTGTATCAGGAAAAACATGCTGAAAATGATCAAAACTAATCACTCTTTCAATAAAAATGTAAACTTGCTAAATTCACCTTTGTTCTTTGTGACCCTGGAGGTCAGAAAGTCAAGTTTTGCATTTTTGTACTAGGAAGATTCAATGTAATACACGTCGGCTTAAGATTTCGATTTGACAGTTTTTTCGTAGTATTGAAACAGGTTGCGAAGTGTTTTCAACATTCCAAGTTCCAAAGTAAACGTACGGTGCTAAGACCACCTAAAGATAAATTTTAGATGTTTCTATTATTAATTAGAACAGGTTTCGCTTTAGTTTTTATATTTTACGCTGACATTTGTTACTTTAAATCTTCCTACTCCTAGTGCAAAAATGGAAAGTTTGACCTTTTGACCTCCAGGGTCACAAAGAACAATGGTGAATTTAGCAAGTTTACATTCACTGAGCCTCCGGGCTAGGGTGGTACTTTGACAGATGACCTATATAGACCAGTTGAAATCAGGTTAATTTTTTTTTAAAAAAAGCCCCCTAATACCCCATAAGATTAGTTATAACATAAATATGTGAAAGCATACATGTACCTTTGGGTTTTTAAATACATGTACAAAATAAGTTCGATTATTTAACATGTCAGCTATTTCCAAAGAATTTACTCATCAGTAATACCATCCAATAAACCTAACATTCCAACAACTTTTCTTGTGCTCAAATTTGTTGTTGCCCCAGTTTGTCAGTTTGTCCATTTCCTCTTCCTAAAGTTATCATTCAAATGGTATGTAATGTTAAAATTCAAACAAAGACTCATTGACTTTCAGTGTTTTCCATTAATTACTCGAAGATTCATGGCCCTGGTAAACTTTGAAAAATCCAATTGGCTTGAAAAATTATGTCTAATGTTTATGTTCACGAGACAAAGTCTGTTGATTTTCAATGATTTATGTCCAATGGCTAAATTTCATCTAATTTATTCTAAGTGTCATGACCTTTATGGACTTCTTGGATTCCTAGCTGCTGTATGTTTTATTATTTAGCAACATATCGTTTTGTTCCAGAGAATATGTCTTTATCAAAACATTGCTGAATAGTGGTATTTTAATATGGATATTATTTTCGTGTGGTCACTTTAAGTTTGGTTCTAAACTAGCATTCTTTGGATGAAGGTTGAAATGTTATCTTGTCCAATCTAAAATTTACAGTGTTTCAGTTGCTTCATTTTCAAAAAATTTGAACAAAATTCTATTTTCATATTTCAGAATTTAAGAACTGGAGTTGTAAAGACACCGTTTGTTATAAAACCAAAAGTTAAAACTAGCTCTGAAATTAAACAGTAGGTATTATATGGCATTTCTACAACACTGCTAAGCTGGTTTAACTTTTATCACCTGCAAGCAAAGATTGTGTCTTCAAGGGGAGTTTACTTCCTGGCAGAACAAAAATGTATAATATCCATAATAAATATCCATAACTATTCTGACTGTTTCTGCAGAAAACAGATTTATAGAATTTGGAATGCATGTATATGTGGGGAAAGTTTAGAGTCATCGATTTTGGCTCCAAAAATAGGCACGGTCAGCTCTACCATAGCCACAGGTATTGCCTTAGACTATTCTCTATTTTGCAACAATAACTTAGCAAATTTTTCAGAAATTAAACAATGTTTGAATGTTTTTTAATTATTTTTTTGTTTATTTCAGACTTTTACCGAAAGATGATGGTAAAGATTGTGATGGCGGAAGGGAGAGTGTATCCTTCAGCTTTACAAAGAAAGCTACAACCAGTGTTGTTCCGATTGTGGCAGCTTTTGTATCTGAAGAAGATGCCAAAGGAAAGAAAGATCTTACAGTAGTACTTAATGGCCAAATATTAGGTAATCAGGAAGAAACCTCAAATGATAACACAAGTGATAAAATTGTGGGAAGCAAAAAAATGTTTGACTTTGTGAAAGTGATGAATAAGGAAGAAACTAAAGAATTAGATTGGCCTGCAGCCATGATAAAACATACCAAAGTAGAACCCATTATAAATTATAGTTGTAATCCTTTATCATTTGATTTTAGTATGTTGTTAAAATCCAATAATGTTCATGTTGATAATAAGAGCCCTGAAAGTAAAGAAGTAGAAGAAGCCGTCTCTTCCAAAAGTTGTTCAGAAGATAAAAAAATGGGTGATACCGAACTGAATGTACCAAAGCTGCAGAATGAGATAAACAATATAGAAACCGAGAAGGACATTCAGGAAGAAACGGCCAATCTGTTAGAAGAAATAAAAGAAGTGGTAGTTTCCAAAGAACGCTCCAGAAAAAGGAAACATAAAAGGAAGTCGAAAAACGTGGTACACAAGAATGAAAAGTTGGAAGACACAAGTAGTAAGCTCAAGAAACACAAGAAGAAAAAGAAGAAGAAAAAGCATAAACAATCTTCGCGTTGTGAAGAACCAGATTCAAAGAAACACTCTAAGAAGTTGGAAGAAATGGCTGATAATGATGAAAATCCAGCTGTAGAAGGAGACAAAGGTGCAAAGCCACGTAAGCACTCAAAGAAACGAAAGCGAAAACACAGACATACAGAGAAAACTGAAACTAATATTGTTAATGCTGGAAATGCTGAAAATATTGGGGCAAAGAAAGAACCACCTGTCAAGAGAAAGCGTAGCAGGAGTAAGAAAAGTAAAAGCAATAAAGAGCATAACAGCAAGATATTATCCTCTGATAATGAATCTGAGACAAATGGTAAAGAAAGTCGAAGGAGAAACAGTACGAAGAAAAGGAAGCGCCACAGAACAGTACTTATTCCAGAACCAAAGATTGCTGAAGATAACCAAATTGAAAGTAACGATAAATCTGAAATAAAAAATCATGATTCAACAGTGACAAAACCAAAAGATGTTTCTGCTGAGATTAAATCATCACACCCAGCAAAAAGTCCCGGTAAAAATAAAGGTATAGGGTCCACTCCGAAGCAGACTGGATCACCAATGGAAAGTAAGAAAAAGGGTGTAAGTGAAACTCCTGATAGCACAGGAGGTTCCAATAAAGGATCACAAAGGAAAAGGACAGTAAGTGGCTCAGGTGAAGACCTAACACCATCAAAAATAAGAAAGACGCCAAATCTGGAAAAATCAGGACTGAAAGCGGAAGATACTTGGAGTAAAATGGAAGGATTATTTGAGGCAAAGAAAGAAGATGAAAGTAAAGCTAAATGGGATACTAGTGATAGTGAAGATAATGAAACATCAAAGACTGTTGATAAGAAAAGGAGTAAGAAAACTCCGCAAAAATCTAATAGATCAAGACGTAAAAGTCGGAGATCAGAATCCAGTGAGTATAGCTACTCTTCAGATTCTGATAGATACACTAGAAGTCACTCAAGACATCACTCTAGGTCTCGGTCATATAGCCATTCAAGAAGTCGTTCAAGGTCTAGAAGTAGATCAAGGTCATATTCTTATGATTCACGGTACAGTAGGTCCTCTTCTAGATCACGATCTAGATCACACTCACGATCTAGATCTAGAAGAAGGTCTAGAAGATCTTATTCCAGGAGAAGAAGTTCATCCTACAGCAGAGGTTCTAGCTATTCTCGCTCAAGAAGCCGTTCATATGATTGGTCAAAACCGTATTCCAGATCTCCATCAAGATGCAGTTCGAGGAACAAAATATTAAAATCACCGCTTTCCGAAACTATTTCCTCAATATCAAAAGTGAATGAAACAACAGAAGCAAAAAACAAAACAGTTGACGTAGATCCAGGAGAAATACCTTTACCTACAGCAGATGATGACAAAACTAAAGACAAAAAAATAATGGATGATATACCCTTGCCTCCTGCAGGAGAGTCAAAACCAAACAGTGAACCTCACATCCCCAATGTCACTGGAAGTTTAAAAGCGGTTTTTGCACCCCCTCCTCCTCCCCCACCTCCACAAAATTTAGAACTTGAATGTGGATCAGAACAGAAACTCAATGGTCCTCCCCATGACCCAAGCTACCATCATGATCAAAACTACCATGATCCAAATTACCTAGATGGTCCAATGATGCATGGTCGGCCACCATTCGGACATCGTTATGGACCACCATCTAGAATGTATGGGCCAGGGATGGGTCCACCTCCTGGAATGAGAGGTGGACCACAACACCCACGTCAAATGGGACCTCACGGTCCAAGGCAAGGTTATAGAGGACCACCACCAATCCAAGGAAGACACCCTGGGCCCCCGCCTGGCATGATGGGCCCACGAGGTCTGATGAGACCTCCTATGAGGGGTCCAATGCCACCTTTCAACAGGATGATGCCACCACCACACATGAACAGCAGTCGACCCCCATTTCAAGGTAATCGAATGCCTCCTTTCATTGGTCCACGCATGCCTGATCCTGATTTAATGAACAAATCTAAGACGTCACCACCACCATTACCCCCACCTAAATCTCCTTCACCACAACCTCCTCCTCCTCCTAAAAAAGAAGAAAAACCAGAAGTTGAGGTTATGCAGCCAATATTTATCCCACCTGAACAAGCTGAACAGTACAGAAAACTTCAAAAACAGGCTCAAAAACATGCTAAAAAGTTAAGGAGACAAGAACAGCAGGAGAAAGGGGAAGAAGTATCAGATGAAGAGGAGGAAGATGATGATGATGAAGACAAGATGGAAACAGAAGAACAACAATTATTAGAAGCTGAATTGGCAGCCAGCGCTGCTGATGATGAAGCATCAAGTTCTTTATTAGCAATACCCACAGCACAGAGTCCATTACTTCAACAGCAGACAATACTAGTACCCCAACAATTGTCTGGTCAGTTATCTTTTTCTCCTTCAGGTCAGTTGTCGTTTTCACCATCTGGACAGTTATCAATTACACCTTCAGGACAGCTGATTGCAGCAGCACAACCACAGTTGATCCTACCACATTCTCTGTCAAATGCAGGGTTACCAGTTCAAGCAGGAGCCCCTGTTATAGCCTTTCCACAAACAACTCTTGGATCGTCTCTCACTCCATCTCTAATCAGTCAGTTATCAGCATCTCATTTAGCTTTAGGTGGACATGCACCTGGTTTGGTATCACAATCAATGCATAGTCAGTTATTAGGCCAGTCTCAGCTGCCAATGCAAAGTGCTGTACATGCAATACCAGGTATGCCAGGATACCATGCTGTACAACAAGGTCTCTCTAGTCTACAAGGATATCCAGGAATGCAAGGCTTGCAGGGCTTACAGGGCTTGCAGGGTATTCATGGATTACAAGGTGGTATGATTCCAGGTCTCCCTGGAGTTCAAAGCCTGCATGGCCTACAGACTCAACATGGATTCCCAGGATTGCAACATTTACCACAGATGATTTCTCCAATGGCTCACCATCAAGGTCAAGTAATTTTGATTCCTCGATTACATCGGCCTATGTAATTGTAATGAGACAATACCATAAAGTGCTTAATAAATATAAATGTGATTTTTGAATGATGAAATGTGATAATTTATATAATTGACTTGAGAATATATTTAATTTGAAAATTTACTTTAATGTCTTGTGGGATCATAACCATGCACAAGTAAATATAGGCAGGTAGTCCTCCAGCTCTACTTTAGTTGGCGTTTTTTTAATTTATTTTATGTCATTTTGATGTCAACCTTTGTAAATGAATTGATACATGTAATATTTATTATTAAAATGAAATCAGTGTGTTTGTAGAAAGGGATGATTTCTGATTAATTTATTTTCCACTCATGAATTTGCTACTGATGTGCCAATTACTGCGGAGCCAATATGACATGATCTCATTGCACTTGTTCTGTGCCTGTGATTAGTGGAATGATTTATATTTGAACAAAATAGATCTAGCTTTATAGTAATAGACTTCAGGTGATGAATGAGTGTGAACTTGTGAATACAGTTGAATGTGTTATTATGATCATGAACTAGATCTATAATTATAGTTATTTGTAAATATTAGTCAACGCCAATCAGGATGAAACTATTATAGTTCAAAGAGATTGAAACATTTATGTGCACAGGCATTAAACAATTTCTATGACCTGCAGTGGTTTGATTTTAAACCTATGTAAATAAATATGCTTTTTTTTTTGTACATATTGAAAACTAGAAAGTATGTGTTCAAATTATTTCACTCTGTTCTTCAATTCGAGTGATGTAATGTATGCAATAGTTTATTTCAACAACTAATTGCACTTATTTGTTTTTAATCACATAGTGTAAATATGGATATAATATAATTCTTTGTTATTGCTTTTATTGTTAATTTTGAAGCAATGCCATTGTTGCTAAACCAGATGACACAACAGAATTTATTTTTCTTTTCTTTCTTTTTATTTATAGAAGTTTTTGCTTCCAATGTCATTGATTTCCAAACCACTCATATTTGTTTAGAATGCTAACTTGAGTTTTCCAAAAATTAAATCAAGATCCAGAAGGGATATTTGTGTAATTTGTGTAATTATTGGGTTAGAAAGTATAGCTTACACTGTGCCATGTTTTATCAAATTTTAACTGTTTGTCCTCTGGTACTGTTAGGTTCATTATAATGACTTGGTTTTTGTAACTTCTGCAGTTATATGTTCTTGTGCAACAGGGATGGGATTTCATTAAACGGAGGTCATTATGTTTACTTACTATTACTGGTACTATTATTAATGATTTAATCTCAACAACTGAACCACCTCCCACTACCATACAGACCTCATAACTTCCATATTAACACTTAATGTTCTCCTTTCACTTAAGGACTTGGTTATGTGTTAAATTTTAAGAATAAGATTTTTTTTTAGTGAGTAATTTAAAAGCACCAGTATATAAGAAACATGATTAACAACAAAAAAGTAAAATAAGTGTTAGGTGGAAATAAAAAGATAGTCATGTAGTCTCCCCTTTTAAAAGAATATTCTAATGGTATGAAAGCCAAACTAGGAAGTGGTATAAGTTGTCCAGGAAATGTTACTCACTGAACAAAGATCAAACATTTTAATTCTGTTTTTTTATTTCTAGGACATTAGAAATAAATACTGTGGAATTTATAAATGGTCAAGCCCTTGAACTGTGAAATCGGAAACTATTTTAGTTCTTTTTACTGTTAATATGCACACAAATGATAATAATTATGAACTAGTCATTTGACCTGATATTGAATATATTATTTAATGACAATTAAACTCTGTTTCTGTAAAAAAAAATCTTAATATTTCCAAATATTGTTTGTGTTGTCGGTTATGGACATAAAATAATTTAAACCACCTATTCCTGAATGTTGACCAGGTAAAACCCTTGTCTCGGTCATGTCGATAAGTCACATTAACAAATATTTAACCCACATTTAATCTTAAGGTATATATGGTTTACTAAAGTGATTTATCATTTTCCATATTTTTTATGGTCAACATTTGGGAATACATGGATAAATGGTTGAAATTGTCAAGATTTAAAAATTGTACAGTAATAATTCTTAGGCTTCTGTTAGTTGTAATACAATCGTTATAAAGTTGTCTGATGATTTTATGTACCGTATGTGGTATGGTTGTGTGCGGAATGTATGAGTGTATGCCATCGCATTTGAGACAAAGCATAATATATTCATGTTTTGAAATACAATAAAACAAAAAAAGAAAAAAAAAATTTATCTGTGTTATTGAATGATCAAAGACTGTCAAAAGACAAGGATAAAAGTCCAGTGTATTTTGAGTAATTGGCACTCCTTCCTTCTTTTCTTTTAACTTAAGTATTTATGGCCCATATAAAGGTCTAGATGGAGAGAACAAAGCCACAGTTGTCACTTTTCATGTGAAAACTTAAAGATTTTGCATAGCCTCAATTCTGTTCCTAGTGGTTGTCTTGACCCAACTGAGTTTATTTGTAATCTATTTCCATACATGTACATTATATACCTGAGTCACTCTCCCTCATTAAAAAAAGAAGCATTAACATTCAAGTATATCAGTTCTAGAACCCTCGACAGGAGCCCTAACTCTATACACTAATACAGTAGGGGTTTTTTTTGTCCAAATAGACACAAATTGCATTAGATATTCAATTTTTGCATCCGTTTGGTATAAGATATGGCTTTCATAAAGCTAGGGTCAGTACAGTTCTGTTGAAGGGACATGCTCACCGAGAACACGTCTTTGTGTAAATTCAAGAGGACGTGGGTACGGGGGGTTTCAATGCCATCACACTAACATCCTAAGAAAGGGCCCAGTCGAGATCAGCCAGTGCCTTGAAAAGATGGGCACTATCAGGCAGAAACCCATGCTACCAGTCTCCGTAAACTGCTACTCCAGGTAGCCTACTTTTCGTTGGGTATAAGATGTGGCTTTTATAATTCAAGGGACATGGGTACCAGAACCGTCATCTGGAGGTTTGGATGTCATCACACTAACATCGGCCAGCCTCCCGTATAATACAGCCACTCTGAGGGGTCCACATGAGATTATCATTGCTGATACTATTTGAGTCAAACGAACAGGATATCGATATCCGTGTGCAGTGTATGCGTAACCTAACATATTCAGACATGGATGTCTGTGGCCCCTAGAGCTCAAAAGTTCGATCAAACATTGGGGTACCTGCAACAACATGAAACCAAATCGAAATGAACATGGACATTTGATAAGAGTGCAGAAATGGGCACTTATATACAAATATTCCACTGCAACAGACTCGACCCCCAGGATGGGTCCCTACTACCGGGATGATGAAAACGGCCATATGGGGGGGGGGTGTTGAATTCCAACTGTCAAGGGTTCTTTTGCGTGTATCCAGGACCTTGGGTTGTCGTCCCATCCAAACGACGGGCGAACTGTCCTCAATCACTGACAAAAGGGACTTGGGGGAACTTTCGCGGCTAAGATCGAACCCGGGACCTCCGTGTTAGCGAGCCAGCGCCTTATGCACCCACCAGGAAGGGTCACGATATTATTTGGGCTGGATTAAACATAGGAGTTACCACAACCTTCTGAAGTGTACCTGCAAATTTTGATGGATATACTTTTATGATCTGTCTGAATCCATAGTGTTGATAGGGCTCAAACTTTTGCGAATGTTTGGTGGTCGACCCTTATCTATAAATGCAGCAGACAATTTGTCTGGCAATGGAAGTAGAGCCTAGCGGTTTATTTTTATTTTAACTTTGATTCATCAATCAAGCAATTCTGGAGCAGTATTGGACGTCGCCTCTATAATAGTGTTCCCAACTGCAAAATGTTCGTCAGCTGGGAGCAGCCCTTCAAGTACTGGAGAAGGATATATACTATTCAAAAAAAGTAGGGGATATTTGATTTTTAAGTGTTATTAAAGTCACCTAATGAAACTGACGAAGAAACAAATGACAAAATGAAATGAAGTTCACATTCATCGATTTTTTCCAAATGATCGTTAGACTAAGTAAGGCACAGACTGACCATTATAAGGGTAAAATGATACCCGGGGTCAAACAGCAAAGTTACCACAGCATCACAACCAAGTCAGTAACGGGTAAATCCTCCTCTGTTTGCCAAACAAGCATTGATCCGACGTGGCATACTCCTAATGAGACGTCTAAGGTCATTTTGGTCCAGATTGTCCCATTCCTGTTGCAACGCAGCAGCAAGTTCTTGGACATTGGCAGGACGTTGTTGACGTTGACGTAACCTCTGTCCAAGCATGTCCCAGACATGCTCGATGGGGGAGAGGTCGGGACTCAGTGCTGGCCAAGGTAATGTGGTGATGTTCTGTTGTTGGAGGTAACCTGTAACGATCCTGGCCCTGTGACATCTTGCGTTGTCATCATGGAAGATGAAACGGCGGCCATGACGTCGTGCGAACGGCACAACATGGACTGCCAAGATGTTGTCCCGGTAGTACTGGCCTGTAACACGCCCTGCAACAACATGTAAAGCCGTTCTTCCAGCAACAGTGATGCCTCCCCACACCATAACAGAACCACCCCCAAATCGATCATGTCTGATGACGTTAACGTCTTGGAAGCGCTCGTTTCGACGACGCCACACCCTCCTACGTCTGTCCAAAAAATCAACAGTGAACCTTGACTCATCTGAAAACATCACATTGCTCCATCGTCGATTATCCCAGTGTTGACGATCCCTACACCAACGACGTCTTGCCTGAATGTGATGATCTCTCAAACAAGGGATCACGCGAGGACGTCGGGCGCGAAGGTGACCCCTATGCAGTCGATTCCGAATCGTCTGGCCACTCACTCTCACACCAGTGTCTGTTTGAAGACGAGCGCTGATCTGATTTGCTGTGATGACACGATTTCTCAAGGCCAAGGTACGGATAAATCGATCCTGGGCTTGAGTTGTCGCCCTTGGTCGACCTGAGCGTGGTCTGTCCTGTACAGATTGTGTATCACGGTATCTGGACCATAGCCTGCTTATGACAGACTGAGAAACATTCATCGTCCGCACCACAACCGCCTGTGTTGTGCCGATCTGTAGCATGCCAAGGGCACGTAACCTTTCATTTTGGGTAAGCCGACGCATATCAAAATTTGTTTTCTGGTCACTAAAACAATTAAACTGATGTTTCCACCCTAGAATTCAATGCCACAATGACTGTAACATTCAAAGTCAGAGTCGTGCAAATCTTGGGTTGGACCCCCATGATGATCCCAAGCATCACCTGCATTCCATGCGGTAGCTATTGGTGCGTTTGGGCGTCACATGTAACTGGAAATGTTTCTTCTGTTAGGTTCTATAGTGACTTTTTTCGTAGTCATTTGCATATTTTAGTATTATGCCCCCAAAATCAAATATCCCCTACCTTTTTTGAATAGTATGTGTCAACATGTCACTGTCATAGCCTAGATTGTCTTATGTCGGCAAATGTCCAGTCTACAATCATGCCAAAATCACATATTTAGAAGTAAAATTTAATTATGATTTGATTTCGAATTAATACGTGATTATGTAAGAATGAAATTCTGAAGTAGGGTTAATAATCACTGAATGGTTACCTGAATTGTGATGTTACCGTTATCATCAGTAAGGATATTAGTTAAGACATAGCGATATCACTCAATAACCTATAGATTTTCGAAAGTTTGTAAAAGATGTGAAAATAAACGAACAATGCAAATTTTCTGTCAAATATTCAAATTATTGGTGGCAATGCGCATTTGGAAAGGGATCACGACCACGTCAAATTTATATTTGCGTGCTTATAAGAATTATTGTGAACCAAAAACTTTCATTTCAAATGAAGAAACTATAATTTGCGTTGGAATTTAAGTGGGTCGATTTTGGTATTACCAAAGTTGGCTTGGGGTTTTGACATTCGGCAGATATATACTGCACAAAATCCAATCATGCATGTCCAGATTTGATGTGTAACTTGTAAATGTAGTTGGCGAAATTAAAAGCTTGCATCTTGGCTTATCTTATGTGATTCTGTAGCAGGCAATTCTCTGCGGGAGCTAATTTGGACAGTCACCGCCAGTGGGCAAAAACGGGAACTTCCGCCAAAGTCACTTTTTTCTTCATTTTCGACCTGTAATGTAGTATAAATCGTGTTAATTTTCGCAAGAAGAAAAGAAAACCCCTTCACAGTAAACCAAAGGGTTCACGCCTCAATATGGGTTTGTTAATATCCAGATTCAGAGTAAGTTGAGTTATGTTAGTCTCGAATCTCGACGGTTTATAAAGCCTATTATTGACTATTCCTCTCTCGTCAAGCCGGTCCTGTGACGGCAGGTGGTTTTTGTATGTTTTGGACAGTATTTTTGGCTCATATCATCGGCACAGTTTGATGTGACAGTTTTTATACGCCCACATTTTCATGTGGACGTATATTATCGTCGCACCTGTTCGTCAGTCCGCCCACTGTGAGTTTGTTTGTGGACTCTATAATTAGGTCACAATTCTTATCCGATTTTGACGAAACTTGAAATAGTTGAAATATAGATTTTTATTTTATGATCAGTAGTGGAATACTGCGTTTTATCAGTGAAATAAAAGTGTTATTTCACTGGCTAGTTGTTTTTACCTAAAATGATTGTAAAATCATAAATTAAATAGAACATTTGTCGTTTTGTCGTCAATAACATATTTTATTTCATCTCTAAGCAAGAAAACGTTTATATTTTCACAAATGCAACGCATTCGTGAAAATATAAGTTTTCTTGCTTCTTGATGAAATAAAATATGTTATTCACTCTAAAACAACAAATATCCTCTATATCTCCAATAGATCTTGGTTCCTTTCGATAATGGCTTGTATCAGATTGAAACTTCATGGATTATGGCCTCTGGTTGTACGGAAAATCACGCTTTTAGCTTGTGGATACTCTAGATGTCACAATTTTCATTTGATTTTGATGAAACTAGAATTTAGAAATGCATGTTTATATAACCCAAAGATATTGGTTCTTTTCGATATTCGCGCATATCGAATCGTAACTTCCTGAATTATGGCCCTTGATTGTACAAAAAATCACGTTTTTAGCTTGTGGTCCCTCTAGAGGTACGGTAACAATTTTATCCGATTTAAAAAAAACGCTTGAACCGTTACAGCCTAATGATGGTTGAGTTCGAATTTCGTGAAAATTGGTCCAAAACTGCTGAACAAAATAGTGTAAATATACATGTATGGTATATCAAGGTTGTGGCTGGAGGCAGCCATGATTGTTAACTGTGGATTGTTTGACCGATGTATACAACGTCATAATTTATTCAACAACTGATCTAGGTCGGGGCTACATGTAGTTCAGCTCTGAACGTGGGTCTCATTACACTCGCCCTGTACGTTCAGGCTTTACCGTCCTATTGAATCCTTGTCGAAACTAAAATCGGCCCCAGCCAATTTTACTGGGCAACTTTTTACTGCTAAATGGTTGTGTGTCAGTCTTTGTAAACACCTGAACATTATAAAGGAACATTTTAGTGAGAAAATAAGACCTTGCTTACCTCGCTAGCCTCAGTATGTGCAACACAACATGCTATTAAAAATACATCCCCTTCTGCTAAACGGACTGACAGACGTCATTGAAATCTAAATACAGGGTAATGCACAAATTTACATAACTCAGCTGTATAAGACGAAACAAAATTTTGGTAAGTCTGGAGGGGGTGGGGGAATCGAGATCTTTGAAAAGATGAGACTCTTCAGTCTTTGATTGCTTCGCCTAGCCCAACTGTAATAATTTACAATCAAATTTTTTCAAAGATTTCAATTCCCCCCCCCCCCCCCCCACTTACCAAAATTGCCCTGTAAAATTGACTGGGCCGATTTTAGTTTCAACAAAGATTCAATAGGACGGATCCTGAACGTACAAGATGAGTGTAATGAGACCTACGTTCAGAGCTGAACTAGGTCGGGGCAACCTTATTGTTTGCTATAAATAATTTTTTTCTTTGTGCTAGTTAGTGTCTCCATTACACAACAAACAGTCGACTGTTATGTCTCCTGTAGGTTATTTACACATGGAGCCAGTATGCAAATTTTTACAAGATTGGTGCTGAAAAGTTAGTGCGTATCTTAGACTACTCAATGCCCTTAAGAAAAGGTGCTGTATACTAATCCAACAATTACAGCTGTAGTGATTCACAACAGCTGTGCCATGGACTTTTAATAGCCTCATCCCTCTAATAGCCTCATCCCAGTCCATGAAACACAAACTGTTATTGTTTTAACTGAACAATTTAAAACATTTTTATAAGGTGCTGTATACTAATCCAACAATTACAGCTGTAGTGATTCACAACAGCTGTGCCATGGACTTTTAATAGCCTCATCCCTCTAATAGCCTCATCCCAGTCCATGAAACACAAACTGTTACTGTTTAACTGAACAATTTAAAACATTTTTATTATTTTTAGCGTCAGAAAACAACCATTGAAATATTGGAAGGAATTGATAAGGTAGGTATTGTATACATGGTTAGTCACTAGTTGACTTTTTGTCAGGCACAATCACCTTGGTGCTTGTGAGTTTGTCAATGACAGAATATACTAATTAATTCCAGGCTTGTACAATACATTAGAATTAGACATCTTTTCAAGGTTGGAGTAATCTGGGTTAAGTTTCACTTTTTAAATTTAATTTTTGATGAGCTGTTTACTTTTGATTCAAATCTTATTGAACCAAAAGTAAACTTGAAGGATTCATTACATAGATTGGGATACAGTAGTTGGTGAAATTATGAATTTCTAAGAATTTATCTGTCAACAAGGCAAAGTAGATAATTGGAACATTGTTATTTTTCTGTCATTGTTTTAAGGTACATCTCATTTCACTGAATTTCAGCTAATTTAATGTTCATTTAGAAGATTGCAACCCCATATCTTTGTATTAAAAAAGTGATCAAACTATAAAAAAAAAAACAATATAGAATCTGTGTTTCAATTATTTTGTGCAATTAATTGTCAATTTTGTCTCTCATATTGTGTGTTTTAGGATATAGCCAGTCTACAGAAATACAGGAGAAAAAATCAAGAGAATCAGAAGAAATTTATAGCTAGTCTTATACTATATTCTATAATACTCTATATTATTGCTGCTGTGGTCTTCATCTTGTTGTATTTTCCGGCAAAATGGAAAGACAGAATTATTCATTCAATACCCTTGTTGATTTTTCCCATTTTGTAAGTAAAATTGTATCTTGTAATAGAGTTTTAACTTAAAAAAAGTTAACCAGGCAGTGAATTTTTGGTGTGCAATCATAAATTGAGCAGTTTATAAGCAAATTTTTAAATGAAATGTTTTGTAGAAGAAAATCTACAAATTTCATCGTTCTGTTCATTTCAAATGGAAAAAAACCTAATTGGTTTTTGTTATGTTATTGGTGCTTAAACTTAAACTGCGGTTTGACAGTATTGTAACATGATGATATTAATATTCGGCTTATGTTCATAGCTTTATCATATGTCATATTATTATTTGTTATCTTATTTGGAAACTTTTTGTATATAAAATGTGTAGTCATAATGATCTAGGCTCCGTGAGTAAGAAGACGCTGGAGGAGAAAGTTACTCAGGATTTTCAAGTGTTTCTCCCCATGTCAGTGGTGCAGGATGTGGGGTATAACAAGGACAGTTGTCTAGTCATTTCATTTCTTTGCTTGACACAAGTGAAAAAATTTTCATAGTGAAAATATATTGTCTTTTCTAATTGTAGAGTATGGATTTTAAAGAAACTACTACATTGGTACTATGTAAAAAGAACATCAGATACAGGTACACAAGTTTTAATAATTGCTATATTCAATTTGAAGTTTGTTTCCAAATTAATGCCTGGGTTATGCTCAATTTCGTATCAAAAGGTTGAAACTTGGATCCAATTTTTCAATTTTGATCTGTGTGGAATTTGTTAATGTGTATCTGTTCACAAAGTATAGGGGATTCCAACTTCAGCATTTAGACCATTGACAGTTAGTCAGCAAATAAGGTAACTTCAAAACTGTTTTCCAAACTACATGTAATGCAAGGTCTACACATTCAACATTTTATTTGAACTTCAGAATTTAATTCAACCTCCTGATATCATATGTGTAAAAATTAACTGCTGATATGTATCTGTTAAAATGATTGGTGATTCCAGCTGCATTATTTAGACGATCAATGATTACCCTGCCAATCTGAGCAACTTCAAAATCAAAGTAACAACATTGGTTCAGAATTGGTCCAAATTAAGGTGTCTGGCATGCAGTCTGGCAGAGAGAATTTGGTGATGACCAATGTCACAACTGTTGATCCCATGTGGGCTCCTAAGTGTAGCAGCAGTATGGGAAGGTGGCAGTGTGCCTGTCTTTTCAAGGCATTGTCCCCTTTGTCGTAAGGCCTTGGTTGATCTTTAGTGGACTGTGCTGGCAACTCAGGATGGTAGTGTCATGGCATCTAAATTCTCTGGTATTTAGAAAAGACACTATCTCATATAATGAGCACATGACATTTCTTTGTTTCATTGAGAAATGTATGGTAGATCTTAATTTTACAGCTGAATTAAAAATATGCAGGAAATAATGTAAACTTGATCATCAAGTCACACATTCCATATTTTTGGCCATTCAAACTTTTCAGAGGATCGAAGACTCTGATTTTGTTTCTGTTAATTACAATGATTGTTTCCTCTGTAGATTCAGCATTAGTAGAATTGAGAGAAAAGAAGAAACAAATGGTAGGTATATTGTGTGTGATTTGTTCAAATCTAAAAGATTCTAATTAAGTGAGAGTGATGAAACATGAGCATTTTATGCTCAGGGTCAGCAAAGAAATAAACAATTTGATTGGTCAAGGTTTTGCAGCTCGATAACTTTGATTCTAATTGAGTAAGAGTGATGAAACTTTGTGTATAGTTTCATTACATTAATACTAAGTTAGATGATGAGCATTTTCTTCTGATTGGCCAAGACTTTGGAACACAATTTAACTCTCCTTATTGAGGTAGAATGTTCAAACATAGTGTAGGTGTACATTAGGTGAATACCTTGACAGAGTTCGATCGTGCAAATTTTCCACTAAGGCTAAGCAGAGATAGGCAATTTGATTGGTTGAGACTTTGAAACACGATAACTTTAATTCTAATTGGGTAAGTATAGATTCATTATATCAATACTTTGACTAAGCTCGATGATGAGAATTTTTCTTCTAAGGCTAAGTAGCGAAAAGCAGTTTAATTGGTCAAGACTTTGGAACAAAAAAAAACTCTGCTTTTAATTGAGGTAGAATTTTTAAACTTGTATTTAGATGTTCATTAGACAAATGTCTTGACTGAGTTCAATGATCAACATTTTCCGCTAAAAGTTAGCAGAGCTAACCAATTCCATTGGTTGATGCTTTGAGACAAGATAACTTTGATTCTAACTTATGGAGAGTGATGAATCACTACCAGATACCTCAAAACATTGACAAAGTTTGATCGTGAAGATTTTCTGCTTAGAATGAGTATAGATAATCAGTTTGATTGCTTGATACTTTTCAAAAAGATAAATGTTCAATAAATTAACATGTGTCATCTATTATTTTGGGATTGTGGAGGGTGACATTAGCATCACTGTTGGCTTGTTTATCCCTGTTTTGTTATTCTGCATATTTATACCCCCACATTTTCATGTAGACGTATACTGTTGTCACCCCAGTCTGTCTGAACATGTTGTCCTAGTTATCTTGCATTGTTGTCAGTTTAGTGTGACCTGAAGATAAACTTGACATTTGGTGGATTTGGATATTTCACAGGTTGAGGATGATATAATAGATATCACACAGATAGATTAGGATGGTACATAAGGTATTTCAGTGTTTTGGAAGTGTTGTATTGGATTTTTCCCAGTTTTTCTGTGAGATATTTCCCAGTTGTGGGTGGATGGTGTGTTATATAATATTAAATATTTCTTTGCTATTGAAGGGGATAGTATATCAGAATTTTTGAAGAGTGCACATATCATTACCATGATATTTCATCTTACAGCTAGAAGATGTTATGGAAAATGAAACATATAAAAAGGCCAGGGAGATCTTAGAAAAGTTTGATCCAGCTCGCTACAGACAGTTAGAGGTTTGTATATTAATATATTTTTAGAAATCTGGTTCAGTTGTTAACTAAATAAGTAAGCAATACAGTCAGTCCTAACTGTTAGTCAAAAGTAGAATTCCATGGATGATACAAGACAAAACTGAACAATAGTTTGTGGACTTTCGAATTTCAAATTTGGAAAAGGATAAGCATTATGTCATTATTATTTGGATGTCAATTCTTAAAAAAGGAGCCAATTCACTCCCTCATCCAGCATATTGTTGATTTAAAGTTAAACTGTTCAGTATTAAAATTACAAAGAATATAACAATACATATTTATAGCAACTAATTGACAAGAGAGATGGAATATTTTTCTAATTGGTCTATTCCTTGTCAGTATCTGCTTTCACTGCTTTCAGTCAGCTCTCCTTTCACCCAAATCTTTGATATTATGGTCAATGAAAATTATTTTTCCATTGCTGTTAAAAACTCAATTTTATGCTGTGTTGGGCTATTTAAAAGGCCCCTCGTATTGTTAGTAAGATATAAGCAAATGTAACTACTTTGAGATATCTGGTTGTGCAATAAAATTGTATGTGAGAGAGAGAAATGGGATTTAACTTCCACTTAACACAAAACAGATGATTTTGGAACTAACATGTGGTTCAATTTAATTTCAATATTTCGCTAGTGCTTAAGGATCCATAGAAAACCCATGGGGTTGGACAGGCAACCCTGCTCCTTGTCCTGTACAAAGTGGAAATCGGGTTTTCTACAATGTTACTGGACTAACTATAATATGTTGTTTATTTTTTTTAGAAACCAGAAACTTCACCTAAATCTGCGACACCATCAGGTATGTGATAATCTCAATAACTCGCATTTCTTACAGTTTATACATCTATACAAATAATTAAGATATTGATGATTTAACTAGTGTTACTGAATCACTTGTCACTGGTGGTGGAATTATTTCAGAATGACCGAATTGTAGAATTATATTTGTTTATTTTGTGGGATTCTGTTTTGTAGAGTAGTCCTATACAGTAAACTTTGCATAAGTCGGATCTAAGTGTAAGTGGACTGATCAATTTTATCGGAGTTAAGCAAAGGTTTGAGTTAGCCGAAGACCGAAATTCAGTCTTGGCTCAGTTAGAAATAAACTGCAAGAGCCGTATAATAATTGATTCAAAGGCACACTTCAAGCTTTTGTTCGTATGTGCGAGTAGATAACTTCCGTTTTGGTGCGAGTAGATAACTTTCGTTTTGTCGCCATCTTTGAAAAATGTCCTAAATTTTCCCAGAAAGTCTCTAGTACAGCAGACAGCGAGTTTCGGATTTTGCGGGGAAAGTATTTTGGGGCTCTGTGCATGGAATACATAACTGCATTGTAGACCATCGGGACGAAACTGACTTAGTCAAATTCTGAACATATTGCCGATCTGACTTAGGCGAAGGAAATAAGCCGGAATCAGATCAAATGGACCGAACATTTTGATCCATGTTGAACGAAGATCTGACTTAGGAAATCCGACTTACATGCTGAAATTTGTTAAGAAAAACATGCAGGATCAAAGGGTCTAAACGATTTTATCCGAGTTAAGCGAAGATCTGACTTATGCGAAGTTTACTGTACTTTTGTTTGGAATAGTTACAGATCTTGACTGCATATGCTCATTCTCTCTACTCGCCACCTTTAAATGTTTTTAGGGTATAAACTGTATTTGGGAGGTAATTTATAATAATAAAAACAAAATTACTTGTATATCATAGTAGAATTAAAGATATATAGTAATGTCTCATGTATAAGTATATTTTATGTATATAATAAATACGTATGGATATTTTAAAAAATTTATAAGATGATTACTTACAGTGGCACAAACCAGATTACCTACACCTAGATCTGTTCAAGCTGTCCAGCAGACCAGACCTCAAACAATGGCCCCAACCCCACCGCAATTCAGGCCACGATCTCCTATGAACATGTCAAATATACAGCGAACACCAATTCGAGGTCAACAACAAATGCAGAACATGATGACTCCAGCTCAAAATGGAAGTCAGATGTGGATGAGATACGGTGATGATATATGATTTTATCCATAATTTCTCCACAAGTTTTGAGGACTTGTGGTCAGAACCTTAACCAAAAACAAATAGACACTGTTGAATTTGAATGAAATTATCAAGATTTACTACAATTTCTTTTTCAGGATAAAAGGCAAAATTGATTTTGTTTACAATTCCAACATGAATGTCCCATGTCTGATATTATTCTTCTATTTTCATATACATTCATAAAAAATGTTCTTGGTGAAATGTAGAATTCAAATTTGTTTCCCTCAGACTCAGAGGATTAGTAAATTTATTTGTTTCTGGTAATGGGTTCTCTCTTCTCTTCTCTGTATGATTGGTCAAATCTTGGAGTAGGGCATTTTTATTCTCATTGCACTGAGGATCTTTCAGTGGTTTTATTTTTATTGTTTAGTGTTCTCTTATGTAGTAGTAATAGAATCTATTTCATATGAATATATTTACATAATTATTTTCAATTTATGAAATGTAATATTATTAAAAATTCTAAATATTTCCAATTTATGAAATGTAATATTATTAAAAATTCTAAAAGTTATATTGGTATTTAAATCTTTGTGTTTAATTTATGCTATTTAAAAATCTGTTTTTCAGAACGTCCACCTGGTCCACCATTACCGCGTTCTCTTTTACCAAGGGAGAGAACAACTTTTGATAAAACTGTAGATTATTTGTTTGGCGATGGACCACAAAATAGATACGCTTTAATTTGTAGACAGTGTCATTCACATAATGGTATGGCACTAAAAGAAGAATTTGAATACATTAGTAAGTAAAATTTACTTATAATCGCTCTAGTGATCTTTGCCTTTGAACATCAAACTACTTTTCATCAATTTCTTGATCTTTTTGAAGTCTTAATTTTAGGCACTATGATTCATCAAAATCATTTTTGCCCGAGCCAAAACAGCAGTTTATAAGCTAGATAAATTTCTTAGCTTAAATGAAATGGGATAAGAAATGAATGTATGGTCTGACTCAAATAATGTTTTCAAATTAAATAATATTTGTGATTGCTTACATAAACAGGAATGGCTATAGAGCAGTCGCCCACCAAATACCCTACATACATCATTATATATGGCCTGAGATAGCAAAATGAGCCGAAAGTCTTTTACGATGTGAACAAAATTTTTAAAATAGGCTAAAATATCTTTTTAATAATATAATATAAAAAGGTAAAAGTTGAGATTTGACAAATAAAAAAAAAAATTTTTTTAAAATATTTTAGCCTATTTCAACATTTTGTAAACAATGACTTGCTACATGTACTTCTGACTCATTTTGCTGTCACTGGTCACATACTGTATAGTGGCAATAGACATCCATTCAAATATGTCGTTGTCTAGGTAGAGTGTTTCTGGTCACACCATATAAAGGACATGTTTAAACATCTTGCTTTCACAAAGCAAATTTGCATTAAATATTCATAAGAATTACCTATATCAGACTTTCCTATTTTCTTTGTTCATAGTCTAGTTACTGTTCTGTGCATTTGTTGAAATATACATATTACTTTCAGATAAAAGTTGGCATTCGACAGCAAGCATGTTATATACTTATTTTACAGTTCTTAATTTTTTGATAAGATATGATGTAGATGTACCATACTTTAATAATATTTTTTCTCTTTGATATAGGCTTTAGATGTTGTTATTGTTTCACTTTCAATTCTGCAAGAAAACAGAAACCTCATGCACCAAAATTAGAATTTCCAACACCTGTTTTACAGAGAAAAGTAATACCAAGTAAGTCGACTGATAAGATCATGTAATAGTTTTGAATTACTTGAACGTGACAGGATCTCCTGTCTTACCTTGTTGATTTTCTTAGGCTCATCCAGTTCCCTGCACTGCTAAAGACCCCTACGGGTGTAATAAGTGGTGGAAATGACTAAATTCTGTAACAATTTTAATTCCAGATAATAAAAAAGATTCATCAGAAGAAGATGAGGATGGGGAAAGTGAGGAGGAGACGACGAGTTCAAGTACGCCTGATTCTACCACTGCTAGTGCTGATAATAAAACAGATAAAAAAACACACATTATACCCCAACCTACCCCCAAAACATTACCTGATAATCTAGTCCAGAGAAAAAATATTCCCAAATATGTTGGTAATACTCAGCCAGCAGTCAATGGTGATTCAGTTACAGCTAAAAGTGACCTTAAGGAATCAGGGGAAAAGCCAGCCGTCAAATCAACCAGTTTGTGAATTAGGTTGAAGTTCAATTGTGCATATATATAAGTTTTATTTTCATCACCCTATAGTAATGTTATTGTCACCCCCAAAAAATTAGATACAAATTATTTGTGACAAGAACATAAAGAAGAAAATATGTTGTTATTCAAGTATATCTAAGTATATGTTTTATATATAAAAATAATAAATTAAGTAAACAAAATTGTGTAAGAACAACCAATACAGGTATATATACCATTGATTGTAAACAGTGCTAATGGAGTTGATGTCTCAAAAGAATAAATTACATGACAAATTAATAAAATTTCGTTATTGTAGCATAGAATATTTATCATTATTTTGTTAGGGTTTTTTTTTCATGGGTTGTTGAAATGTTGCTTTATTTTCAATTTGAGATTTGGTTTTGGTTCTACTTTAAAATTGGCTGCTTTGTGGAATGTGAGTTATTGTGTGAAAATCAGACAATATTATTTTAACGGTCATGATTTATATTTAATATAATGTTGGTGCTTTCTCTTAATACCAATTAGTTGATTATATTTTGTATGTAGATATAATGAGATTGAATTCTGTTTATTTATTGTTTGTTTGATATATCTATATTTAATGTTATTTAGCTTTAGTCAATCTATAAGGTGATCTTGTTAATAACTGTGTGTGATAAACTTGATAGTAAGATATGAATGACTCATTAGCTCTTTTGTTCCTTTGTTTTCATTGTTCTATCAGAGTATTAAGGAAAATAAATCAACATACATGTAGTTATCCATATATTGTATACATATAATATAATAGTTTGTTGCTGGGGAGATTCAGGATGATGTATTTGATTCTAGAACCAACATTTTAAGTTATAGTGGTGTATTTGGGGTAGGAGAAGAGTGAAGGGGAGTGGGGCAAATATTTTTTCTACCTGACCCACTCAACAACGAGCTTAACTCCAAGGCATTGCACACATTTTTAATATCAATTTATCACTAATATAAATAGTATATGAATTATAGCACTTAAACCAAACAGCAATATCAGCCCAACCTTGCGTTCTTATTTTAATGAAGCATTGCTAAAAATTAAGGTTAATTAATATAAATTTTGATTTGCATTCGTGTGAGGCCATAAATAAGGGCTATACTATATACCAGAAAACAACCGGAAAACTACCGGAAAACACCATGTTATACTGAATACGGAAAAACACTAAATACCGGAAAACACACTAATTACCGGAAACCACCCTCAATAGGTAACCCGGAGAAGGGCTATACTATAAACCGGAAACTAACCCTAACCCTAACCCAGGCACACAGAGGACCAGGCTCCCGGTTACCTATTTAGGGTGCCAGTCTCCGGGTTACCTATTTAGGGTATTTTCCGGTATTTAGTGTGTTTTCCAGTATTTTGTGTTTTTCCGTTTTTTTCCGGTATTCAGTATAAAATGGTGTTTTCCAGTTGTTTTCCGGTGTTTTCTGGTATATAGTATTGCCGCATAAATAATCTTTATATATTACACTTTCTCCCATAATTTGATAAGCTTTATTTAAATGATATATGATAGAATGAACTAATGGCCACATTTACATACACTGATTCAATATAAGATAGCAATCAATGTACTAATGGCAACAGGTGATTAAGATTTCAAATAAAATAAACTCACAAATGAAATAATAATAGATTTATCCTAATCACATCATACCACAAGGTTAGTTTTTTTTGGCAATGCCTTTTTTATTAAGCATACCTAGTACAGTTTCACATACTTTTTAAGTTCATTTCGTTTGGAATGCATATTTATCACACCCAAAGTTACTGAATTCACAAACAACAAATCTACATAATCAGATCTCTAAATTATTGAATTTTGCCAAAACTATATATATTCAATTGTAGTGAAGATTTGATAGAAATATGTCGATAGGCCTATGTCTTGCCCAGTTTTAATTTTTCAGAAGTGTTTCTTCTCTATGCAATGATTCTTAAACTAACCAAATACCTTTTTTTATTAAAAAAATAAATAAAAATAATAGAAAACATTCCAATATATTATGATAATTATGGTTTGAATGGAACAGCTTATTGTGTGTGATGTCATTTAAAGAAGAACTTCACTCATTGTCCTTTATTTGTATATTATTCCATATATAGTATTAAAATACTACACAACTCTATTTTGATTTTAATTACCATTTCATATTAGATAATCAGTAAAATTTAAATAGATGACATTAGCTGGAGTAGGCTACTCCTTTCAAAGCAAAAACATAACAAGTTATTTAGTTGTCTGCCATATCACTCTTGTTGGAAGTGAAAGTTAAGCCCCGCGAACCAACAAACATTTAATTAGGAAGTCTTTGTTTGGCTATTCTTTGTATGTAAGGTAGACATAAATATATATAAAGCTATTATTTATGTAGATAAAATGGGCTTATGCACAAAACAACTGAATTTTTATGAAATTACTAATTAATTTTAATTCAAATAAACTAAATTGTCTGAAAATATCTAATTGGGAAATAGGCTGTCTTGAGAAAGCTAATTAAGTCCAATTCTGGGGATATACATGTACATGTATATAGTTTTTTTCTTTAGGAGTACAAAGGCATGGTTCATATGTATACTAGTATTTTATTGTATTTCAATTGTATATACATGTATTTACTTTCTATTGTATTTTGCCCCTGTTCTTAATATTTTATTTCCAAAATGATTTGTACTGGTTCAATGTCATACTTTATATCAGTTTCTGAATCCAACTAAACATAATAACAATAATCTATTTATAAATCGCTGGATATCCAACTAAAAGAGTTGCTCAGGAGTAAATATTGCATTGGCCATTGTACTGTGTGCTATGAACGTATCTATATAAAAATGTTTATCAAAGCTAGATAGATTTTATACAGTTAATTCAATTTAAAAATAGAGAATTTTATAACAAGAATTTACTTTCAAAAGAGTGTTGGATTATTATGATCTAAACCTATACTATATAGTAATTTCTTATTAGCTTCTAGTTCATTTAATTTCCTGGTAATATAGAGAATATAATATTTTAATAGAAATTAGATATGTGAATTTAGAATCTAGTTAGCTTTTTTCAGTTTTCTACAAGAGAACATTATATTATAATTACCTGTACTTCATTACATTCTTTTCAATATACTGTTTACATTATCAGTTATATAACTATCATCTGATTCGCTCTTGCAACTTCCATCAATAAATAATTATTTCTACTATTATGTATTTATTTCTGTAAATGTTATAATTTTGCTAATAGAAAAAATGTAGTGTGGTGTGTCACAATCCAGGTGTGATAATCTGTGATTAATTTTCCAGCAGGAATTATAAGGTAATTATCACATGGAATGTTGTAAATTTGAATATAGTGTTCTAATTAGGCGTGTTTCCATATGTTATCTTGTCAGTCTAATCACAAATATCTGAATTTTTCCTTGATCTCTCAGTTGGCTTTAGTGTTGGTGAGAGGGTCAAAGGGATATGGCAAGTTATCCGTTCCAGAGCCTTTGTAGAATCTGAATCTTTACCTTTCGAAAAATGGTTTGCACAAAACAACAAACCAAGGAATCATTATTTTTAGATTTTTTTGCATACAAGTAGGTGGTCTCCTAGATGGTATTTTATATTCTATCTCCATCTTAACCAGGGGTGGACTGGGTAGCTCTGGGCTCGTAGATCAACTGGTTTCGTTGGACCCTATCACAGCGAAGAATGAGAAAAGGATACTGGCTTGATGCATCTTTCATGCATCCCACTCCAATATTAATTTTACTCCTCAGACTTGGTGGGGATAGGGGGGCATTATATATTTCAGGGGCCGCGAAGAGCAATTATTTTCACACTGAAAAAAAATGTCAGTTTTTTTTTTCCAACTGTCCGGGGGCCCAGTCCACACCTAATCTCAACAATAACAAGAAGACTCTTCAAGGATATCATTAAAATTCTGAAAACTTATTTTCTAATTACAAGATGTTTAAAAGAAATAAAAATTACATTAAGTTTTAAGAGATGGGGTTTAACGTCAACTTGATTCTTACTTGATCATTTCGGGACAAAAATATGGTACAATTGTATTTCAATAATAAGCTTGCGTGTAGGGGTCTTTAGCGGTGGGGGGGGGGGGGAAACCGGAATCTTTGTAGAAAACGTAAGATGTTGGACATGCAACGCATGAATTAATGACAGACTCTGTGATCTAAAGCTCACTTGCATTAGACAAATCTAGTTTTATAAAGACATTTTGAAGTGTTCCGAAATAATAATTGCATACCAAAAACTCTGACAAATGTATTTCAATGACACAAAAATGATTAAATCCGAGAAATTTCTGATAAGCAAAAGGGGCGACCATTATATAATAGGTCTATGTGTGTACAAAGTTCCATAAAGATGTCTTGAATTTTTTATGAGATATGCCAAAACCCAAGTCAAATTGGTTGTCATGAGATATTTCTAAAAAAACAAAAGGCACAGTTAATATAAAAATATCTTGAAAAGTTTGTGGTATATGCTCCGGAAACAAAATTATGACGAAGCCCATTTCAATCTACCCCTACTTGGTTCGACGCTGAATAATAAACCAAGCTCAGTAGCATACTATTATGTAGCAGGACGAGAGTTTACTGTCGTTCTCGTACTAGTGCAGTCTGATGATGTATTTATACTCTAGTAGATGTACATACATTATTATCTTTCACTCTCGTCCTGGTCTTTGTTAGCTTATTTGAAGTATGTCGCGTGGGTGGGGTGGGGGGTTCTATTGCATTACTTGAATGAAAATAAATACTTAACGTGTTCCAGGACTGAACCATTAATAGGCTACCAGTAATGACAAAAGCCAATCTGGTAACAAAGCTAGTGGGTTATAAGAGATGGAATAAACCCGTTTGAGCGCGACCGCATGGTTAATTATGACTTATTGGAAATTGTCAATAGCCCCCACACTTGGCAAAACTGAATATATCCCGGAGCAACATGGGCCAATTTTAGTTTTCGGGTGTCATGTCGCCTCGAATTCAGACATAGCAACGAGACCGGCATACAGTATGCAATGTGCTATATATGGGGGAGATTTTCCGCATGCTCTTCGTCGTTTAGGCACGCATTCCTTCTTCACTGAAAGGTGAGACATCGTAAACCCCCATTTAGCTGAAACTTGCCAACCAATAAAGTTTCCATTATTATCATTTGTATTATTTACAATAGTTGACGTTTACACAATGGGCACCGTACTTTACTTGGCATTCATTTTTCACTATTTCGAATCTATATATTTTGATTGATTGCCCTGTATGATTGCTAATACTGTATTTATATTTCGTTGATTTTCTTTTACGACTCTAGCAGTTTTAAAGGATCACAGGGCGATAGGGGACCCGTCTACTCAGGTCGTAAATTCATAAAAAAATCAAAAAAAATATAATTGTGTCGTTACGTTAAAATAAGTTAGTTTATACGATATTAATTTAAAAGACCGCCCTTTTATATCTTCCATTTGTTTACATCAAAAATTTAATGAATTTTCTGCGGTAGAAAGGCAGAAACTGAACCGAATACAACAATCTGCAGCCAAATGGCTCCAGGCTATATCGGATCGCCCCTTTAATATTCCTTGAAATAATCAATATACATAAATCTCTTAAGTAATTTTAAAGTTATAGCCATATAGACAGAATAAATAATCTTAAGATAATTTTAGAAACGACGAAACAACATAAAACTTAAAGATGCATTATGTAAGATTTAGATAAAAAAAAAAACCGTGGTCGTTCATGCTTAATGCTAACTTCCCACTATCACGATTCGCGCTACGATTAAAATCGTGGGGTAATAGTGCTGATCCTACCAGGTCTTATCATATATTAAGATCAGTCGTAGCAATCGTGGACTCAATAGGGACCACAGTGGGAACCTAGCATCAATAGTTTAAAAAAATAGATAACGTAAAATGAAGATATTGAAAAATTCAGTCAAATTGCCTTAAGCTCATGGACATTATGAATGGTTGAAGTTCTGGCAAGAAATAAAGTAAATAGTCCCGATTGTCAAGTATTATTGCCACGATAATAAACGAAGCCTCGATTTTCCATTTTAACGTTTAACGCATATATTTAATCCACCCAATATCCCTGCCACCCGAGAGTTGATTATATGCTTGCCGTGTGAATAAATGTCTAAGTGAGAATTTATATACCATTATAAGCCCCCCCCCCCAAAAAAAAAGACCTGCAATGGGCAGATTTCGCTCTTACATATTACATCTTTAAATATTACTAACATAATGTATAAATAAATATGATAGCATGCATATTAACAATAAATGAATTTATATTTATTCAATGCTTTTTGAAAGTTCCGGTGCTGTATTCGAATACAGTTTTGTAGTTTTGACAATCTCTGCCAATCTTCATGTAGTCTAAAATGTTGCAGCCGGGTTTGGAGCAGATATCGTTGGCACATGCTTTCATCTCTTCCGCCTGAAACATTAATAATTAGAATAAAGGAGAGACTATAATACTCAATATGATGAATGTAGGACATTTCGGCGAGTAGAGATTTCAGACTAGGACATTTCGGCCACTTTTTTATGAAGAGGATTTTTCGGCCAGATTTATTTGTCTGTGTATTTTTTGTTTCTTTTGTTTTTATTTTTCATCTGGTTTATACTGCGACAAATATTTTTTTTATTTAAATAAGTCTGAACTCGTTGCGCATTTGTACATCTCTGCAAGTCCTAGTGACTGGATGTGTCTCCAAGTTGATTGATAAAAACAGTAATGAATCTGTAATTGTGGCACATACACTGCATGAAGAGCAAGATCCACAGAGCATTCAAAGTCTATTATAACAGTTAATGTTCGCAATCATGCTCCTCTAAACGAAACATTAATTCACAAGTTGTCTGAGTCTTTCTTTGTAAAACTAAGTACACTAATGGAACAAAAACTCCTGATACACGACCCTGGATGACATGCAAATGTATAAACTACTGAGTGCCATTGCGTAGTTATCATTCATGCACCAAACATCGGAATCTGCAAGTTTCTGGACGTATAGTGTTCCCGTTAAATGCCTTTAAGACTTACTTTACTTACTTTCAAAACATTTTTTCACAAAATAATTAATTTTTTTGTAAAATTGGCCGAAACGGCGAAGGCCGAAATGTTGGCTGGCCAAAACGTCCTAGGACGAAATGTCCGCTGGCCGAAACGTCCGTCCACCCAATATGATAACCGACGGCTTTAGCAAATTTTGTACGCTTTCTAAGATTTATGATATCAAATTTAAGAGAACTAGTCCAAGCTGTTCATATACAAAGGCTTTGCATCTCATTAACAAACTGCACCCAAACAACTGTAGTTATAGTTATCGAATGTAGGCATTTTGCAGATGCTATGTTGCATCTTATTGGGCAGTTAAGCAACTGCAGAATCCCCAAAAACATAATTATTATTTTGTTTGATTAAGCTAGCTATTAGGTGGTAAATTTTAAGTGCCGATGATTGTCAATACATGTATTGGCTTCCACCAAGGCTTAAGCATACGTGGCCGTTATCTATCTATATATACTATTCAAAAAAAGTAGGGGATATTTGATTTTTAAGTGTTATTAAAGTCACCTAATGAAACTGACGAAGAAACAAATGACAAAATGAAATGAAGTTCACATTCATCGATTTATTCCAAATGATCGTTAGACTAAGTAAGGCACAGACTGACCATTATAAGGGTAAAATGATACCCGGGGTCAAACAGCAAAGTTACCACAGCATCACAACCAAGTCAGTAACGGGTAAATCCTCCTCTGTTTGCCAAACAAGCATTGATCCGACGTGGCATACTCCTAATGAGACGTCTAAGGTCATTTTGGTCCAGATTGTCCCATTCCTGTTGCAACGCAGCAGCAAGTTCTTGGACATTGGCAGGACGTTGTTGACGTTGACGTAACCTCTGTCCAAGCATGTCCCAGACATGCTCGATGGGGGAGAGGTCGGGACTCAGTGCTGGCCAAGGTAATGTGGTGATGTTTTGTTGTTGGAGGTAACCTGTAACGATCCTGGCCCTGTGACATCTTGCGTTGTCATCCTGGAAGATGAAACGGCGGCCATGACGTCGTGCGAACGGCACAACATGGACTGCCAAGATGTTGTCCCGGTAGTACTGGCCTGTAACACGCCCTGCAACAACATGTAAAGCCGTTCTTCCAGCAACAGTGATGCCTCCCCACACCATAACAGAACCACCCCCAAATCGATCATGTCTGATGACGTTAACGTCTTGGAAGCGCTCGTTTCGACGACGCCACACCCTCCTACGTCTGTCCAAAAAATCAACAGTGAACCTTGACTCATCTGAAAACATCACATTGCTCCAGCGTCGATTATCCCAGTGTTGACGATCCCTACACCAACGACGTCTTGCCTGAATGTGATGATCTCTCAAACAAGGGATCACGCGAGGACGTCGGGCGCGAAGGTGACCCCTATGCAGTCGATTCCGAATCGTCTGGCCACTCACTCTCACACCAGTGTCTGTTTGAAGACGAGCGCTGATCTGATTTGCTGAGATGACACGATTTCTCAAGGCCAAGGTACGGATAAATCGATCCTGGGCTTGAGTTGTCGCCCTTGGTCGACCTGAGCGTGGTCTGTCCTGTACAGATTGTGTATCACGGTATCTGGACCATAGCCTGCTTATGACAGACTGAGAAACATTCATCGTCCGCGCCACAACCGCCTGTGTTGTGCCGATCTGTAGCATGCCAAGGGCACGTAACCTTTCATTTTGGGTAAGCCGACGCATATCAAAATTTGTTTTCTGGTCAATAAAACAATTAAACTGATGTTTCCACCCTAGAATTCAATGCCACAATGACTGTAACATTCAAAGTCAGAGTCGTGCAAATCTTGGGTTGGACCCCCATGATGATCCCAAGCATCACCTGCATTCCATGCGGTAGCTATTGGTGCGTTTGGGCGTCACATGTAACTGGAAATGTTTCTTCTGTTAGGTTCTATAGTGACTTTTTTCGTAGTCATTTGCATATTTTAGTATTATGCCCCCAAAATCAAATATCCCCTACTTTTTTTGAATAGTATATATATTTGTGACTGTCGTTTGTCTGTCTGTCTGTCTGTCTGTCGGTCTGTCTGTCTGTCTGTTCGGGGTTGGCGGCTACACTAGGTCTGCCCCGAGTCTGAAATTTGGGGTATAGGGGTAGCTCGGACCGGGGAGTAACATAGGTCAGGTGGCGTTAGTCTACCACTTCCGGTTTCGGAGTTATGACCCCCGAGCGAAGGCGGTCTGTTCGGGGTTGGCGGCTACACTAGGTCTGCCCCGAGTCTGAAATTTGGGGTATAGGGGTAGCTCGGACCGGGAAGTAACATAGGCCAGGTGGCGTTAGTCTACCACTTCCGGTTTCGGAGTTATGACCCCCCGAGCGAAGCCTGTCTGCTCGGGGTCGGCGGCTACATCTGCCCCGAGTCTGAAATTTAGGGTATAGGGGAAGCTCGGACCGGAAAGTAACATAGGCCAGGTGGCGTTAGTCTACCACTTCCGGTTTCGGATTTATGACCCCCGAGCGAAGCCGGTCTGTTCGGGGTTGGCGGCTACACTAGGTCTGCCCGAGTCTGAAATTTGGGGTATAGGGGTAGCTCGGACCGGGGAGTAACATAGACCAGGTGGCGTTAGTCTACCACTTCCGGTTTCGGGGTTATGACCCCCGAGCGAAGCCGGGTATCCTGCTAGTAAAACATACACTGGTATTGAAACGTACACTGTTAAAAATGGGTGTAATTAAAAACTATAAGCAGTGTTAATTAAGTGTAAACTTTACACCACAGCTAGCTTTGTTTAAATGTAATACCTTTCCAAGGGTAACCGACTAAAATAACTTCACCTAACAAGTGTAACCGATATTCATGACTACTGAACACTTGAATATGTGTAATTGTGGCGTGTTTTCGATAAGCTACACCACTACATGTGTTATACTCTATTTACACCAAAGGATGTAACTATTATTGGGGAATTAATCATAGAACAGCGTTAATTTTACAGGTTTTATTGGGTTGCAAAAGTGTAATCGATATTCATGAGTACTGAACACCAGGATAGGTGTAATTGTAGCCGGTATTGGGTGTTTGGTTTGAGCTACCCCTATACAAGCGTTACATTGCATTTACACCAACAGGTGTAATTATTTTAGGGAAACATTCCTACGAATAAGATGCGTTACAAAAATATTTGTGTACTCCAATTTAAGTGGGGTTTTTTTTTGTAAAATATGGCTTTAATTGCACTAGTAACACAACTATAACTCATTTTAGAGTGTTTACTCATAACGAGTAAAGTATAGATTATTTTAGCTTATATACACTTAAAGACGTGTAAATGTTCCAAAATATTACCAAGTACAAAATCTTAATTAATAATTCTTGATTCAGGTGATCCGTCTGATGGGAATTTGTCAATTTAATGTTATTGTAAAATGGAACACAGTAGCCAAAGGTCTATATGTAATCTGGGTCGGGCTAAACGGCCTATACTAATTATCATGGAGACCGATAGCCAGTTTCAAGTTTTCTGAACTTAGAAGTCGTTGGCTTGAAATAAATATCCAACAAAACAAATTACACCCGTGTTGGTGTAATAATTAAAATAGAAGTGTAATTTACAAACCATCCTTGAGGGGAGAATGCTTAATCTACACCCACGGGTGTAAACTATTTATATGTAACATTACACTGTCTGAGTGCATCAGGCAGGTTACACTACTGGAAGTGGCAACTAGTTTACACCTGAATTGGTGTAATGTTCTACACTAGTCGGGTGTTATCGGTTTACACCACTAAAGGCTAGGAGTTACCCCTATTTAGGTGGCAACTAGTTGCCACCCGAATTGGTGTAAACTTCCTTATTATTTTTAACTGTGTACTTAAATAATGTAGGAATTTAACAATCGACCCTGATGGTAAGTCGGTGATAGATTGTCGTCCTGTAGACGTGGGACAGACGATCAAGGTGTATCTGGTCTTGCTTAAGATCATAAATTTCTGATTGCAAATTTTGACTTGTAAATCCCCGCTTGTTAACGCGATACAGGAAAGCATTTTGGTAAAATTCTGAAAACAAATTGGTAGGATTGCTAATTGGACTGACGTTGATCACTTTGATGAGCTATCTTTCTGTCAGAATACAGCCAATTTAAGACGTATTCCAGTGCGCTAATTCTAAAAAAAATCATATCCTGCAACTGTATAATTCCTTTAACCCAGCTATAATTAATCTTACAACTAAGGAACTTCCGGACATGTGGAAAAGAGCCGCCTTTAAGGGGAAGGGTAATTAATTACCAGTACATTATCGTCCTTTTCCATCCACGTGCACTATTGTAAGTTCATTGGAAAAATTATAATAAAAACTCTATTCAAGTGGTATTTCTACGAATGATTTGTTCAATACTGAATAAAATACT